CCAGCCTCCAGCCATCCCTGCCCAAGTGCCAAACGTGGGAATGAAGCCATCTTAGATTCTCCAGACCAGCCCATCCACCAACTGAGCAGCACCAAGTGACCTCAGCTAATGTCACATGAAACGAAAGAATCGTCCAAATGAGCGCTGCTCCAACTCCTGACCCACAAACCCAGGAAAGACAATAAAATGGTGGTTGTTTGATGCTGCTAAATTGTGAGTGATTTGTTGCATAGCTGTAGATAACTGGAATAACCATTGTCAAATATTGAAACTACCTCTCTCAGCTGAATGCTCACATGATAGGGTTTTGGGCCTTAGGACCCCCATGATCAGCTGTCTTCTGGACAACTGAAGCTCAACAACGAACACAGCCCTCAGGGCAGGGGGGTCTGCTTAACCGCGCCAGTTAGGACTCCATCTAGAATAATTTAAGCAAAAAGGAAATGAGCGGCTTCAGGCATGGCTGGACCCAGGTGTTCCAAGATATTTTCAGACTCCATTTCCTTTGTGATTATTTTATTTTTGGGCCTTCTCACAGAGCCAAAAAGCTTCAGAAACTCAATCAACTTCACATCGTCTCAGGTTCAAGTCCAGATGGAAAGAGTATCTGCCATTCTCCCAACATTCCCAGCAAAAGTATCACTGATTCTCTTTGGTTCATGACTGTGTGCCCCAATCAGAGGCAATCACTGTGACTAGGTAGGTGGAATGGCCTAGGAGTTCACAGATGGGACCTACTCCATCAAAACCACACAGACTGGGAATAAAGAGAGGTGATTCTTCAAAGAAAAACCAAGGATATCATCACAGGGGAAGGATGAGTGGATGGCTGGGCTGCAGACCTATGCATATCCACCTCTGCAGTTAAAAGGAGAATGAAAAACATAACCTCTCTCATTCTACATGGACTCCCTCTCTTAATGCAGCCCAGGGCCACACTGTCATCTCACACTGATGACTCACACCAGATATTCTGGGGATGTTTTTCCTTATCTAATGTTGCTTGGTTTTACTCCCTCATCCCCTGCCAAGTCAAGGATGCAAATGTGCAGATGGGTCCTCCCGCTTCACCTATGTCCCAAGCACAGTGCAGTGGCTCACACCTGTAATCCCAGCACTTTGGGAGGCCGGGGTGAGTGGATCACCTGAGGTCAGGAGTTCGAGACCAGCCGGGCCAACATGGTAAAATCCCATCTCTACTAAAAATAGAAAAATTAGCCAGGTGTGGTGGTGGTGCGTGTAATCCCAAATACTCAGGACGCTGAGGCAGGGAATCACTTGAACCCGGGAGGCAAAGGTTGCAGTGAGCCAAGATTGTGCCACTGCACTCCAGCCTGGGCAACAGAGTGAGACTCTGCCTCAAAAATAAGTAAAATAGGCTGGGCACGGTGGCCCACACCTGTGAGGCTTCTGGGGGCATGGAGATGAACAGACTAGGCCTGTGGCCTGCTCCACCTTCCCTGAATCATTATCCCTTCCTCCCCTCATAGAGTCAAAGTGCTTCAAAGGAGATAGCTCAGGCCCAGAGCAAGTTTACCGCCAATATGGCTGGCACAAACCCAGGGCTAGAACCAATGCTTCTGAGGGCAAAATTAGCCCTTCTGTTTCTTCACAGAGTTGGATTGTTTGCTCAGATAGGTGACCATCTGAGTTATTAGCAAACAGAGATTTGGTACATAATGTGTGCATACATAAATAACAACAAAAAATCAGTCCACTGCCCAGAGAGCTCTCATCCACAAGGCCACCAGACACCATGAGATTTCAAAGAGGTTGGCTCTAAAATCAGAGGCTATTTGGATATAAATTCTAGCACAACCCAGTCATTTGATAGATGTGTAAACCAGGGTTCAGAAGAGTCCAGGCATGTAATTGCCCCACGGTCGCTGAGCAAGTGAGTTGCTGAGTGATCACTGGAATTCAGCCCATCTGAGAGCTCACCCCTCCCGCCCTGTTTGGTCTTTTTACTTAAGTGAGCACACAGGTTCCAGAGTGGTGAAGAATTGTTTGTTTTCATTTTGCAATCGGCCTTCATACAAGGTGGGGGCTGGGAAGGGAGGAACAGTCCAGGGCATTACCCCCATTAATTCATTTGACAAATATTTATTAAGTGTCGACTGCAAACTTGGCCCTGTGCTGGGAGATGAAGACACAGTTTCAGAGCAGGGGGGCAATGAATGCCCTTGGAATTTCCAGTGGTCAGGGGGTGGTAAGGAAGAGCAGAGACACCAATCCAAGAGTTACCGCAGTTCATACATACCACAGGCCTGGAAAGTGCCAGCAGGGGAAAGAACAGGATGTTTACCAGCACCTTCCACGACAGCCACGGGCGTGGGGCCCAGGACAGGGTCCCCAGAGGAAGTGACGGTTCATCTGTGCTTATAGTAAGAGCTGCAAGGACAGCCTGTCCTCCGCCCACCACCTCACTAAACTCCCACTGCAGTAACTTGTACTCCCTCAGCCTTCCAGGAAGCTTCCAGTAACCACTTCCTGACTCCTAGCATGACACACTTCTGGCAGTCCGAGGTTGGTGACCTAAGACGGTAGCACAGCGCCAGACACATGCAGGCAGGGAAACAGGATGTGCCTCTCCAGACAGGCATGTGGATGCCACCTGGGCTTTCCCCCTCAGCCTCCAAAGGGGAAGAACATTCTTGCCGGGGTTTTCCCCTTCCAAATGTCTCAGAGCCATTCCAGCTAGCTCCTGCTAGTTCCTTCCTTCCCAAGCTAGAACACAAATCCTTCCCCTCCTTGCCTGGCAAGCACCTTCTTACCCTCAGACCCCAGGCAATGGCCCACCTTCTCCCAGGCTGGTCAGGGTCCCCTCCTCTCTGTTCCCTTAGCCCCTGAGCTTCCTGAGACCAAGCTTGTGGCTTCTTGCCCTTATCCTCTCTCCTTGGTGTCTCTATGTTAGAGGGCCATCAGCATCTGCTGGGGCCTGGTGGCAGTCAGGGCACTCTGCTACTCGCTAGCTGTGTGATCCTGGACAAGTAACTTCTCTGTGACTGCAGTTTCTCCTCTCTACAATGAGAATACCGGAGATTCCTTATCTTAGGTGTTGATACAAGATTAAGTGACATCTCACACAGACACACTTTCTACAGTCCCTGTTGCACGCTAAAGCACTCAACATGCCACGGATACATCACCGGTAACCACCCCATGGGTTTACTATGATGCTGCACAATTATTAAGCCTTGACTGCTAGAGTTGTAACCAGTCTGCACTTTCAACCGGTTTACCGTGCAAACAGCATTCCCAAGTCCGGCTTTCACCTGCGCCCTAACGGCTCAGCTTCAAAAGTACAGGACGGGGGGAGGGCAGCTGTGCACACGGCGGAGGGCAAGGGGCAGGGTGCTGGGCGCGCGGCGTGGTACTACGTCTTCTCCCTGCACCCAGCCCCAGGCGCACGTAGGCCGGCTTCGGGGAACTGACCCGCCGCGGCCCGTGTGCAGAGGGGGGTGCGCCCGGCCCCATGAGCTCAGTCTGGTGTTTCACCGGGAGCAGCGAGTGACTCAGCGCGGAGCGTGTGCAGGCGGCGCCGGGCCAGGGCGGGGCTTTTGCGCTCTCCCCGGCTCTTTCCAGCTATAAACACAGCTCGCCGCGCTCAGCGCCGCCACGCCTCAACTTGTACTCCAAGTCCTAGCGAGTTCGCGTGCAGCCGTGTTCCGACTCCAGCCGCCTCTTCAGCTCGCCATGGACCCCAACTGCTCCTGCACCGCCGGTAAGGGGCTGGGGATGCCCTGTAGCGCCAGAGAAGCAGTTTCTGACCCCTTTTTCTTTCTCTGATCACTCAATTTCATGGCAGGAATTGCTCCTTCCCAAAGCGTTTTGGGGTGTCTTTCTCTCCATTCTAGGTTATTCGGAGCCCCCTTTTTTACCGTTAAGGAGATCTGAGTTAATAGCTTGCTCAAGTTCCCAGGAATTGGTTGTGGACGGAGAAACTCGGCCCCGGGCTCCTAGCACGCCGTCCCGCGTTCAGATATTCAGGGACCGTTCTTACCTCTGTCTTTTCTCCTGACAGGTGACTCCTGCACCTGCGGCGGCTCCTGCAAGTGCAAAGAGTGCAAATGCACCTCCTGCAAGAAAAGTAAGTGGGATCCTCTCTTTCCTCTACCCCCTCACTGTCCTCCAGCCTGTCCCCAGCCCTCTACATCATCCTCGGCGGAAGTAAAGCAGTCTGGGGATGCCCCATTGCATGGAAGTTGTTGCCTCCTCAGTGATTCTTATCAGGGAGAGCAGGGATCCTTCTCTGTGTCCCTAGTACTCATCTCTGCTGCCTCCTCTCTGTCCCCAGGCTGCTGCTCCTGCTGCCCTGTGGGATGTGCCAAGTGTGCCCAGGGCTGCATCTGCAAAGGGGCATTGGACAAGTGCAACTGCTGCGCCTGATGCCAGGACAGCCCTGCTCCCATATGTAAATAACATGACCTCTACAAACCTGGATTTTTTTTTTTTAATGTACAACCCTGACCCGTTTGCTACATTCCTTTTGCTATGAAATAATGTGAGTGATAATAAAAGAGCTTTGACTTGATTCTGCCTCTGGTTTCCTTTATATGCCTTAAAAATAAGAGACTGGGGTGAGGGATTGAACTAGGAGGGCAGAGACCTGGCCTGTGGATGGAAGTGTAAGCTGCTAAGAAACAGTGTATTCAGGCAAGCCAGGCTACCACACTGAGTTTCATCTTTTGTAAAACTGAATGTTGTGCCAGATCATATGGGGGCAGGAGGGACACATACACGACCAGTTTCAGTGTCATGTCAAATGTGGCACAGAAACTTCGCCATTCCTCATCTTCACTTTCTGATTTCCCTGCCCAACTTCAGTTCTTCATGGGATTTTAGACTTGAAAGTGACTCCAGGGGGTGGTATCCAACTCCCCAGTGGCTGGAGTCTGACATCGGATTTCCAAAACTCCCTGCCGAGAATGACCAGTTTTGTTTTGTTTTCCATTAGTCATAAACCTAAATTCTGGTAAAATAACGAGTTAACAAGAAAATGAAAGTTAAGAAGAAAATAAACAACGATCATTTATTAGATTCAACAGGAAAATTTCAACAAATATTTGAAGAACAAATTACATAGGAAAAATAAAAGAATTACCAGCACTACACATTTGTCCAAGGGTTTCCAGGCCAGTTCTGAGACTGGCCCGAGTGTATGGCTGGCACACCCTGAGCAGCGCTGATCCAGACATCCCCACAAGGAACCATCAGGCGTGGCCTGCCCAGTGTCTCTGAAGACACTTGCAGACCCCTGAGAGCTCCCTGTTGTGCCTTGGTTCTGAATCTTTGTGAGTTCCTCCCAAGGTCAGGCTGAATTTACTCCTCTCAAATTTCAGCCGTTGGCTACTTAAACCAGCAAAATGGCTGGGGATGTGATGAAATGCCCAGCATGTTCCCAGCAAGTGTGTGAACATGGGTGTGAACTTCATGGTGGCAGATGAAGTTCTTCCTGTTTGTCCACACCTGGGGTGATGGCATTCAGTAGTTTGGAGGGCGTGGCGGCAGTCATTAGAAAGGAGTGAAGCTCTGAGTGACTTGTAATTAAAGCCAACGTTAGTCCCCCTGGCTATGTGGAGGGAATGTTATTTGATGTTCAGTCAAAGAGGATGATGAGTCGCTTGGCCCAGGAATCAGGAGCATACTTGCCTGAAGGTGCTCCGTATAGAGTTTTAAAGGCAGCCTGCGCCAAGGGCTTGGGTTTTCATGTCAGACAGTCCCTAGTTCACAATGCACTTCACCACTTACTGGCTGTGTGGCCTGGGCAAGTCACTCAACCTCTCTGAGCCTCCATGTCCTCATCTGTAGAAAGAAGATGGTATCTCTATTTATGGATTAAATGAGATATTGGCCTGGCTCCTGAGTAGGGTTTAACGACCATAGGATCACTCTGTTTACATGGACGTTCGTGGAGACAGAATCTCTCTTGATAAGCTCTTGGGGAAAAGCGGGTCTGGGAAGAATTACTCCGGGTCAGAGCCTGGGGAGTGGAGTAAAGCCTTCCTGACTGCGTACCAGGGGAGGTGGATGATCTCCTACACAAAGTCCTCTGGGATGAAGATGCTGCCACAGCATTCGAACAAACATAAGAACCATTCTAATTCTTCCTATCATCTGAACACCCCATAAGCCAGTCAAAGAGTGAACGCACAGGAACAAAAGTGATTATGTCACCTTCCAGAGTGGTTAAGCAACCTGCCCAAGGTCACACAGCTTAGAAGTTAGAGGTCAGAACCTCCACTACAGCTGGCCTCTTGTCTTGGCTACAGCTGGCAGATCATGTTGTCAGTTGGTGCTAAGCCCTGCCTCTCAGAGTTCAGAGCTGGGTGGGCCCTTGGTCAGTTAGCCCAATTGTGTCCCTGGCTTGAGAGGTGGCATACTGAAGCTGAGAGATCACAGAGCTACACAGAGGGCATGGCCGCCAGCTCAGTGCCCTTCCTACTTCTGCCTCTGTGCCAGATGTTCAGTATCCTTGTTTTTCACAGAATTACAGGTGTGAACCACGCTGCCCGGCCCTTGTTTAAAATATTTCTGGCCATAGAGAAGTGTTGATGACATACTTGGACCGGAGGAACGCTTTATCATGGACACTTTCCTCAAAGAGGCTGGCTGGATTTAAATCAGTGCACAACTTTTCATCTCTCTGATGACCAGCCAGTTACTTGAACTCATTTCTTTGTAGTCCTCTGACTAGCAAAACCGGTTCATAAACATTATTTCCATTTAGTATTGCTATGAGGATTCAAAGAATGAAAGTGTTTGAAAAGGGACTAGTGGGTGGGGGGGCACAGTGGCTCCCGCCTGTAATCCCAGCCCTGTGGGAGGCTGAGGTGGGCAGATCATGAGGTCAGGAGTTCAACCTCAGCCTGGCCAACATGGCCTAACCCTGTCTCTACTAAAAGTACAAAAACATTAGCCAGGCGTTGTTGCCGGCGCCTGTAATCCCAGCTACTCAGGCAGCAGCTGAGGCAGGAGAATCTCTTGAACTGGTAGGCAGAGGCTGCAGTTAGCCGAGATCACGCCATTGCTCTCCAGCCTGGGCAACAGAGCCAGATATTGCCTTAAAAAAAAAAAAGAAGAAGAAGAAAAAAAAAGGATTTGTATAGATTTAATGTTATGCAATAATCAGGTATACCGAATAGAAGTAACTGGATGTCTTTTTAAAAAAATTTTTTAGAGACACTGACTCCCTGTCTTGTCCAGGCATGATTCAAACTCCTGGACTCAACTAATCCTCCTGTGTCAGCCTCCTAAGTAGCTGGAACTACAACTTCACGCCACCTCTCCCATCTTGCTTTCTAATTTAAAGCAGGGTCTGCGTATCACCTGAAGTCATCTTTCCTTGGGGAGAGATCCCACATGTCCAGAACTGCCATTCCGTAGTGGGGCCGCCCTAAGGCTGTGGGGAGCATGGAGACTTATATGCAAAGGAGGACCTGGACAAATGCGCCCCCATATCTTCTCAGGCGAGGTGAATGGACTGCAGACAGAGGCCGACCGGTGTTCCGGTGTTGCTATGGACGGAGGAGTGGTTCCGAGGTACCTAGGTGTGGACAGGGACAGGCATGGCGGGGGACGAGGAGAAAAGAAAGCCACATTGCTGGCAGTTGCTCTGCACACAACTGGCTCGCAACCGCACCCTCCCCACTCTGCACTCAGCAGATCCGGGGGCGGAGGCAGGAGGCTGCACAGGGTCTCCGGGACAGGCGGAGCTGAAAACCGTGGGGCGAGGAGTGGGGTGGAGACGACCGCGACGCCAAGGCTGGGTTCCCGGATCGCGCGGGGAGGGAGGAGGGGAATTCAACCTCGGGGAAACTGGGAAAGGCTGCCGGGACCTCCGGGACACAGCCCCTCCCGCGCGAGCAAGCGCCAGCGGTGCCGCTGTGTGTACCAAGCAGAGGTCAGGGGATTGTGCGCCCAGCCCCGCAGCTGCGCACAGCACAGCCCAGGACCGCTGGCCACTCGAACTCTGTGGAGCGGGTGCAAGCGCGAGGCGGGGCCTCTGCGCCCGGCCCGCTTCCCGAACTATAAAAGCAGCCGCGGCTGTTGGGCTCCACCGCGCCTTACACGTACCTGAGAGTCTCTCGCTTGGGATCTCCAGTCTCACCGCTACTCGAAATGGACCCTAACTGCTCCTGCGCCACTGGTAAGGGAAGCCCGACGACTCTGCGCCTTGGGATCCCCATTTCCCAGGGCCAGGACAGAGGGTCTCTGGGTTTCAGGAGGTCGCTTTTTTGTGGGGGGGGGGGGGGCGCCGGGGGGGAGTCCTGCTCTGTGGCCCAGGCTGGAGTGCAATGGCTCAATCTGGGCTTACTACAAGCTCCGCCTCCGGGTTGAAGCAATTCTCTGGGCTCAGCTTCCTGAGTAGCTGGGATCACAGGCACATGCCACCAGGCCCGTCTAATTTTTGTATACTTGGTAGAGAATGGGTTTCACCCTGTTGGTCAGGCTGGTCTCGAACTCCTGACCTCGTGATCCGCCTGCCACGGCCTTCCGAAGTGCTGGGATTACAGGCGTAAGCCACCACGCCCAGCCTGGAGGTTGTATTTGAAATTCTGAGAGGAAGGGGATTCCTTTACTTCTTTAAGTGTTTTCTTCCTGATCACACCCCTGAGAGCATTGCCCTCCTCCCTGGGCCTCTAAGTAAGAGTTCAGGACACTGAGGCTCAAGGCTGTCCTGCTGCAAATCACCCAGTTGGTCAGGGGACTGCTGGCTGGTCCCCAGTGCTCTGTCCAGGCTCTGAGCAATCAGGGTGGATGGGGGCTGGAGGCATTGAACCCTGAGGGTTCAGGACAGAAGGTTCTGGCTCTCCATCTCAGTATTCCTGGTTGTGTGTGCACCTGGGACCTTCCTGGTGGGTAAAACAGGAGGATGCTTCCCCTTCTCAGCGTGAGTGGAGAGGACATGGGGCTTCTGTTCCTCTGTCCTGAGTGAGAAAGGAGCTCTGAGGGCTGGCCCTCCACAGAGGAGGCGACACTGGAGACTCATTGACTCACTGCTTCTGCATCTCACTCACTGTCCACCGCCTTTTCTCTTCCTTGCAGGTGGCTCCTGCACATGCACCAGCTCCTGCAAGTGCAAAGAGTGCAAATGCACCTCCTGCAAGAAGAGTAAGTGTGGGGCCATCTCCAGGAATCTGGGGCTGTGGCTAAGGTTGGGAGGGAGCCCGAGGCTGGCCCTGAGTGCATCCTTCTGGGGAACTGGGCTTTCTTTGTCCCTGTTGGCGGTGTCATTTTCTCTCCATGCTTTGTGCCCTGAGTTGAGACAGAACAGCAAATATTTTGTCTGTTGTGACACAAACCCCAACTGTACCACCCATGGTTTCAGGACAGAGTTGCACCAAGCTAAAAAAGCATCCTCTGGGTCTGGGGTCCCAGCTGGAGCCAGGCTTGTTACTGGGGCAGGGAGGTGCCTGGTCAAGTCTACTGCCACCTCTCACTCTCCCCTTCTTCCCCAGGCTGCTGCTCCTGCTGCCCCGTGGGCTGTGCCAAGTGTGCCCAGGGCTGCATCTGCAAAGGGGCATCAGAGAAGTGCAGCTGCTGTGCCTGATGTGGGGACAGCTCTGCTTCCAGATGTAAACAGACCAACCTGCACAAACCTGGATTTTTTTTAATGCAACCCTGAACTGTTTGCTGCATTTCTTTTTCTATTAAATATGTGAATGACAATAAAACAATTTTGACTTGAACCTTACTCTGGTCTTCTTTGTGTGCCCTTGGCAAAAATGGACTGGGGTGGGGGTTGAACCGAGATTTTAGAGACCAGGCTCTGGGTGGAAATGTGAGCCACTAACAATGTGAACACCTTCAGGAAGCCAGGCTACCTCACTGAGTCTACACTGCTGTAAAGTGGCATTGCACTGTGCCACACCACATGGGTGGGGGCCATACATGATCGCTTCCAGTCTCATGTCAAATGTGGCACAGAAACTTCATCCCTCATTTTTATTTTCTGATTTTCCTGCCCAACCTCGATCCACATTGGGTTTTAGGCTCTAAAGTGTCTACAGTGCTGGAACCCAACTTCTCAGTTCCTTGAATCCTACATGGGTGCTATGATTCAAATGTTTTGTCACTGCCAAATCTCATGTTGAAATGTGACCTCCAATATTGGGTCTAGTGGGAGGTTTTGGGATCATGAGGAGTGATCCCTTTGGTGCCATCCCACGGTGAAGAGAGTTCTTCCTCTGGTAGGTCACTCTGCAGCTGGTGGTTTAAAAGAGCCAAGCACCGCCCCCTTCTCTCTCTTGCTCCCTGCCTCTCCATGTGATGTGCCTTCTCTCCTTTGGCCTTCTGCCAGGATTGTAGGCTTCCTGGGACCCTCATCAGAGGTAGAGGCCTGCACCGCACTTCTGCACAGCTTGCAGAAGCAGAAGTCAAAACAAAAGTTTTTTCTTTTTAGATTCCCTAGTCTCAGGGATTCCCTTCCAGGGAAGCAAACAGACTAACACAATGGGGCTTTTCAAACACCATGGTGAAGGGAGTGTTTATTTCCTATCCATCGCAGACTCACACCTTGGTAGATGTAATCCTATCGATTATGGAGATAATGAAATAAAATATACAAAACCAATATTTAATATTCAACTAGACAAAAATTCAATCAATACATGAAGAAATAAAGAAAAATCAAAGATGTACAAGCTTTGAACATATGATGACGTTCACTGCAGACAGGAAACAGAAAACTAGACCAGGAGCAGTGGCTCAGGCCTGTCTCTAATCCCAGCACTTTGGGAGGCCATGGTGGGTGAATCATTAGAGGCCAGGGGTTCAGGACCAGCCTGGCCAACATGATGAAACCTCATTTCTACTAAAAATACAAAAACTAATCAGGTATGACATCATGTTCCGGTAATCCCAGCTACTTGGGAGGCTGAGGCATGAGAGTTGCTTGAACCCCCGAGGCGAATGTTGCAGTGAGCCAAGATTGCACCATTGCACTCCAGCCTGGGCAACTGAGACTCTGTCTCAAAAAAAAAGAAGAAGAAAAAGAAAGAGCAAATAGGCCCCAGTGTGTGGCTACACACCCTGAGCAGCACTGCCCAGCACATCCCCACAAGGGACCATCAGGCTTGGCCTTCCCAGAGTCACTGACAGGACACTCACTGACCCCTGAGAGCTCCCTGTTGTGAAATGGCTCTGAATATTCGGGAATTTCTCCCAAGCTCAGGCTGAATTTGTTCCTCATTCAAATTTCGGCCCTTGACTACTTCAAACCAGTAGAGTGACCAAGAATGTGGAAGGAAATGCCCAGCTTGTTCCTGACACAATGAAATGTGTGTGATCATGGGTTCCACATGAAATACTTCATGTCTGCGTATGCAGGAATGATGGCAGATTCTGCAGTTTGGAGAGTGTGGTGGTGCTCATTAGGAAGGACTGAGGCCCTGGCTGACTTGTAATTAAAGCCAACAATTAGTTCCCCTGGCTATGTGGAGAGAATGCAATTTGATGTTCCATCAAAGAGGAAGATGATCCTCCTGGCCTACAGGTGAGGACCGGGCTTGCCGACTGCTGCCCTGTGAAGAGATTTCAGAAGGCAGCCTGCGCCTGGGGCATGGGTTTTGGCGTCAGGCAGTCCTGGTTCACAGCCCACTTCTCCATGTACTGGCTATGTGGCCTGAGTGCATCACGGAAACTCTCTGAGCCTTCACTTCCTAATTTGTAGAAAGCAGATTGTATCTCAGTGCAGGGATTAAACAACAGCATAGTCTGGTCCCTGATTAGGGTTTAATAAATAGTAGCAATCATGATCATTCTCTGTACACTGGCTTTTTTGGAGAATGAATCCTGTGAAATAGCAAAGCTAAGAGAACCTTTAAAGGTTTGAAAGCATTGCTGTGGATTGGATGCTGGGAATGGGATTGCAACCTGGCTGATCCTGCCAGGAGGAGGGTGGATGACCTGCGGAAAGCACTTTTCAATCAGATGCTGCCCCTGCATTTGAGCTGACATAAAAGCCTTTCCCATCCTTCATCTCATCTAATCACACGACTTCAGGAATGAGAGTCACAGGCCTCAAGACTGGGACAGCAAATATGCAGGGCCTGGAGTGCTGATGCTGTCTTCCAGAGTAGTTAAGTAACCTACCCAATGTCACATATCTTAGAAGTAAAGGGACGAATGAACCTATGCTGCACTGGGCCTGTCGCCCTGAACACAGCTGGTAGATTATGATGCCACTGGATGCTAAACCTTGCCTATCTCAGTTCAAAGATACAGACTCTTTGGGATGCACAAATTTGGCTCTTGGCTTGAGAGATGAGACTGATGCCCAGAGCAATCACAGAGCTGTGCAGCGGGACATGACTGTCAACAGAGTTCACTTCCGACTGCCGCCTCTGTGCTACATTTTCCATGTCCTTATCTTTCATGTGACTTGGTGGCACAGAGTCGTGGGTGAGGGTGTCATGGCACAGTCAGCAGGCATGAGTGCAAATCCCACCTCTGTCACTTTTAGCTGCATGCCATAACCTATCTGTGGCTCAGTCTCCTCCACTGTACAAGGGGCATAATACTAACCTCTGGCTTATAGCATTACAGGACTTAATACTTAGAAGGAACTTATAATTATGCCAGCTGGGTGCTCTACAATATTAACTATTGCTTTTTGGGATCACTTTAAGGAGCAAAGGGGATATCTATTTCTTTGCACACAAAGGCCTGGAGTGCTCAGCTGTGTATCCTGTTATTCTCATCTACCACACAAGCATGTGTCCTGTGGTCCAAAGAGATCATTAACTGTTCCCACAAACTTTTAATCAACACTAGGGTTATAAATCTATGAGCAAAGTTCTGTGCTTCATGTCTGATACAGAGGAATGACTGCCCTTTCTGTTACCACCTGCACCATCTTTGAGTTAATATTTTACGTGGAAATTATTAATATTTTCTTAAACATACTTTATGAAAAGAAAACTCTTTTCCACCAAAGAAAATGAAAAGAAATCTTGTCCCACACATGGAAGATAGCCCCAAATTAATGTGTGTGTGTGCGTGCGTGTGCATGTGTGTGTGTGTGCGTGCGTGTGCATGTGTGTGTGTATGAGCAGGTATTACACTTATGGTTATCTTTGCCATGCCCCAATGTAGCTGCTAGCTTCCTGTTGTTTATTTGGGAGTTCTTTGGATTAGTTTTTGAGAGACAGTTTCGTCTTTGTTCCCAGCTGGAGTGCAATGGCACAATCTGCAACCTGCACCTCCCAGAGTCAAGCAATTCTCCTGCCTCAGACTCCTGAGTAGCTGGGATTACAGGTGACTATCACCACACCCGGCTGATTTTGGTATTTTTAGTGGAGATGGGGTTTCACCATGTTAGCCAGACTGGTCTTGAACTCCTGACCTCAGGTGATCCATCGGTCTCGACCTTCCTCAGTCCTGGGATTACAGGTGTGAGCCAGGCACCTGTTGTTTAAAAGATTTCCAGCAGTAGAGACATGTTGGCCACATACCTGGGCCAAAAGTACGATTAATCATGGACGCTTTTCTTGAAGAGGCTGGCTGGATTTAAATCAGCGCACAACTTTTCATTTCTGTGATGACTACTAGCCTGTTACTTGAACTCTTTCCTTGTAGTCTTTTGATTAGCAAAACGGGTTCATAAATTCTATTTCCATTTAGGATTGTTCTGAGGATTGAAAGAATGAAAATGTTTGAAAAGGGACTGGTGGCCAAGCACAATGGCTCACGCCTGTAATCCCATCATTTTGGGAGGCCGAGGCAAGTGGACCATGAGGTCAGGAATTCAAGATTAGCCTGGTCAACACGGCGAAAGCCCGTCTGTACTAAAAATACAAAAAAATTAGCCGGGCATGGTGGTGGGCACCTGTAATTCCAGCTACTCAGGAGGCTGAAGCAGGAGAATGGCTTGAACCTGGGAGGCGGAGCCTGCAGTGAGAGGGGATCGCCCCCTTGCACTCCAGCCTGGGCGACAGAGTGAGAATGTCTCAACAACAACAACAACAACAACAACGACAACAACAGCAAAAAACAAAAACAAAAGAAAACACTGATATAGACTTACTGTTATACAATAGGCATACGGAAGAGAAATAACTAGATGTCTTCCTTTCAATATTTTCTTAGAGAGGTTGGCTCCCCATGTTTTTCAGGCATAACTCCAACTCCTGGACTCAAGCGATCCTCCTGCCTCAGCCTCCTAAGTAGCTGGAACTACAGCTTCCCGCCACCTCCCCCTTCTGCTCTTTAATTTAAAGCAGGGTCTGCGTATCACCTGAAGTCATCTCTCCTTGGGGCATTCCACATGTCCAGAACTGCCATTTGGTAGTGGGGCAGCCCTAAGGCTGTGGGGAGCATGGAAACTTATATGCAAAGGAGGACCTGGAGAAACGCGCCACCGACATCCTTTCAGGCGAGCAGAATGGACGGGAAAGAGAGGCCGCCCCGTGTTCCGGTGTTGCTGTGCACCTAGGAGCGGCTCCGAGGTACCTAGGTGTGGACAGGGACAGGCATGGTGGGGGACGAGGAGAAACGAAAGCCACATGGGTGGCGGGAGCTCTGCACACAACTCGCTCGCAACCGCTCCCTCCCCGCTGTGCACTCAGCGGATCCCGGGACCGGAGCAGGAGGCTGGGGCTGCACAGGGACTCCGGGACAGACAGTGCTGAAAGCGGCGGGGCGACGGGTGGGGTGGAGACGATCGCGACGCCAAGGCCGGGTTCGCGGACGCGAGGAGAAGAGGGTGGGAGGCAACCTCGTGGAAACTGGGAAAGGCGGCCGGGACCTCAGGGACGCCGCGGGCCGTCGGGCGCACAGCCCCTAGCGCGCGATCTGGCGCCAAAGGAGAGGTCCCGCGGTGCGCACGGAGCAGAGCTCCGGAGACTGTGCGCCCGGCCCTCTGCTGCGCACAGCGCAGCCCAGGATCGCGGGCTGCCGGGACTCAGCCGGGCGGGTGCAAGCTCGGGTTTTGCTCTGTCGCCCAGGACGAAGTGCAGCGGCGCGATCTCGGCTCATTACAACTTCCACATCCCGGGTTCGAGCAATTCTCCTACCTCATCCTCCCGGGTAGTTGGGACGACAGGTGCCTGCCACAACATCCGGCTAATTTTGTGTATTTTTAGTAGAGTCGGACTTTCACCGTGTTAGCCACGATGGTCTCAATCACCGACCTCGTAATCCGCCGGCTTTGGCCTCCCAAAGTGTCTTTTTCTTCCTTTTTTTTCTTTCTCTCTCTCAATTCTTTTTTTTTTTTTTTGAGACGGAGCCTGGCCTTGTCGCTGAGGCTGGAATCCAATGACACAATCTCGGCTCACTACAACCTCCACCTCCCAGGTTCAAGCAATCCTCCTGCCTTAGACGGGTTTCACCCTGTTGGTCAGGGCCTCCTCCGTGCAGGGCCAGCGATCTCCTGAGTAGCTGGACTGACAGACGCCTGCCACCACGCCCGGCTAATTTTGTATTTTTAGCAGAGACGGCATTTCACCATGTTGGTCAGGCTGGTCTCGAACTCCTGACCTCATGATGTGCTCTCCTTGGCCTTTCAAAGTGCTGGGATTAGGGCATGAGCCACCGCGCCCAGCCTGGAAGTCACATTTTAACTTCTGAGAGGAAGGGGATTCCTTTGCTTGGTTAGGTACTTTCTGCCTGATCACACCCCTGAGACAATTGCCCTCCTCCTTGGGCCTCTAAGTCAGAGTTAAGGATACTGAGGCTCAAGGCTGTCCCGCTGCACATCACCCAGTTGGTCAGGGGCCTGCTGGCTGGTCCCCAATGCTCTGTCTAGACTCTGACCAATCAGGGTGGATGGGGGTTGGAGACATTCAATCTTCAGGGTTCAGGACAGAAGGTTCTGGCTAGGAATCTCAGTGTTCCTGGGTTGCCTGTGGACTTGGGACTTTCCTGCCAAAGTAAAACAGGAGTGTTTTCTCTTCCCAGTGTGAATAGAGAGGACATGGGGCTTCTGTTCCTCTGTCCTGACTGGGAAAGGAACTCTGTGGGCTGGCCCTGCACAGAGGAGGCCCTGACCATCACGGTGAAACCGTCTCTACTAAAAATACAAAAACAGTAGCTGTGCATAGTGGTGGGGGCCTGTAATCCCAGCTAATCAGGAGGCTGAAGCAGGAGAGTCACTTGAACCCGAGAGGCGGAGGCTGCAGTTAACTGAGATCCTGCCATTGCACTCCAGTCTGGGCCACAAGAGCGAGACTCCGTCTCAAATAAAAAAAAGAGAGAGAGAAAGAGAAAGGCATGGGGTAGGGGAGGGTGGGAATGGTATAGACTTAATGTTATTATGCAAAAGTCAGATGTACTGGAGAAATAACTGGATGTCTGTTTAAAAATTTTTTAGAGACGTTGACTCCCTGTGTTGTCCAGGCATGACAAACTCCTGGACTCAAGCGATCCTCCCACCTCAGCCTCTGAAGTAGCTGGGACCACAGCTTCCCGCCACCTCCCCCTTCTTGCTTTCTAATTTAAAGCAGGGTCTGCATATCACCTGAAGTCATCGCTCTTTTGGGGACATCCGCATGTCCAGAACTGCCATCTGGTAGTGAAGTGCCCTAAGGCTGTGGGGAGCATGGAGAGTTTTTTGCGAAGGAGGACCTGGATAAATTTGCCCCCACATTCTCTCAGGCAAGCAGAATGGACAGGAGAGAGAGGCCGACCCGTGTTCCCATGTTACTGTGGACCGAGGAGCTGGTCCGAGGGACCTAGGTGTGGACAGGGACAAGCATGGCACAGGACGAGGAGAAATGAAAGCCACAGGGGTGGCGGATGCTCTGCACACAACTCGCTCGCAACCGCACCCTCCCTGCCCCGCACTCAGCAGATGCCGGGACGGGAGCAGTAAGCTGCACACGGACTCTGGGACAGGCCCGGCAGAAAACGGTGGGGCGAGGTGTGGGGTGGAGACGACCTCTACGGTAAGTCTGGGTTCCCGGAACCCGCAGGGAGGAGGGTTGAGGGCAACCTCGTGGAAACTGGGAAAGGCGGTGGGGACCTCGGGGTCGCCTCGCACCGCCGGGCGCACAGCCAAAGGGGCGGTCCCGCGGTGCTCACGGAGCAGAGCTGGGGATGGTGTGCCGGGTCCCTCCGCTGCGCATAACCCAGCCCAGGACCGCCGGCGGCGCCGACTCAGCGAGTTGGGGTGCAAGTGCGAGGCGGGGCCTCTGCGCCAGGTCCCCTCCCTGACTATAAAAGCAGCCGCGGCTGTTGGGTTCCACCACGCCTTCCACGTGCCTGATAGTCTGTGAATTTCTCGCGTGGGATCTCCAGCCTTATCGCGGCTCGAAATGGACCCCAACTGCTCCTAGCCACCGGTAAGGGAAGCCCGACCCTGCGCCCTGGGATCCCCATTTCCCAGCCCCAGGACAGAGGGTCTCTGGGTTTCAGGAGTCGCTTTTTTTTTGGAGGGGGGCAGGGCCGGGAGGGAGGCCTGCTCTGTCACCCAGGCTGAAGTGCAATGGCTCAATCTCAGCTCACTACAACTTCCGCCTCCCGGGTTGAAGTGATTCTCCTGCCTCAGCCTCCTGAGTAGCTGGGATTACAGATGCACGCCGGCACACCCAGCTAATTTTTGTATTTTTAGTAGAGACGGGTTTCACCATATTGGTCAGGCTGATCTCCAACTCTTGACCTCGTGACCCGCCCACTTTGTCCTCTCAAAGTGCTGGGATTACAGGCGTGAGCCGTGTTGCCCGACCTGGAGGTCGCATTTTCGGTTCTGAAAGGAAGGGGATTCCTTTACTTGGTTAGGTGCTATCTTTCTGATCACACCCCTGAGAGCATTGCCCTCCTCTCTGGGCCTCTAAGTAAGAGTTCAGGATACTGAGGCTCAAGGCTGTCCTGTTGCAAATCACCCAGTTGGTCAGCCCCCCCCCCCACCGCCTCAGCCCCCAATGCTCTGTCCAGGCTCTGGGCAATCAGGGTGGATGGGGACTGGAAACTCTGAACCCTCAGGGTTCAGGGCAGAAGGTTCCAGCTCGGAATCTCAGGATTTCAGGGTTGTATGTGCACCTGGGACCTTCCTGGTGGGGTAAAACAGGAGGGTGTTTGCCCTTCCCAGCCTGAGTGGAGAGGACATGGGGCTTGTGTTCTTCTGTCCAGATCAGGAAAAGAGCTCTGAGGGCTGGCCCTGCACAGAGGAGGGGCACTGGAGACCCATTGACCCACTGCTGTACCTTCTACATCTCACTCACTGCCCATTGCCTTTTCTCTTCCTTGCAGGTGGCTCCTGCACATGCCCCAGCTCCTGCAAGTGCAGAGTGCAAATGCACCTCCTGCAAGAAGAGTGAGTGTGGGGCCATCTCCAGGAATCTGAGGCTGTGGCTAAGGTTGGGAGGGAACCCTCGGCTGGCCCTGAGTACGTTCTTCTGGGGAACTGGGCTTTCTTTGCCCCTGTTGGCTGTGTCATTTTCTCTCAGAGGGCTTTGTGCCCTCTGGGTCTGGGGTCTGAGCTGGAGCCAAGCTTGCTATTGGGGAGGTGCCTGGTCAAGTCAGCTCACCTCTCATTCTTCCCTTTCATCTCAGGCTGCTGTTCCTGTTGCCCGGTGGGCTGTGCCAACTGTGCCCAGGGCTGCATCTGTAAAGGGGCGTCTGAGAAGTGCAGCCGCCGTGCCTTATGTGGGGACAGCTCTGCTCCCAGATGTAAATAGATCAATCTGCACAAACCTGGATATTTAAAACAATATAACCCTAAGCAGTTTGCTGCATTTCTTTTTCTCTTAAATATGTGAGTGACAATAAAACGACTTGAATCTTATCTGGCCTTTTTTGTGTGTCTTGGAATAAATGGACTGGGGTGGGAGTTGAGCCGGGAGTTTAGAGACCAGGCTCTGCGTGGAAATGTGAGCCACTAACAATGTGAACACCTTCAGGAAGCCAGGCTACCTCACTGAGTCTACACTGCTATAAAATGGCATTGCACTGTGCCACATCAAATGGGTGGGGTGTTATAGATGATCGCTTCCAGTCTCAATTGTCAAACGTGACCCATTTTTTAGATTAAACGAGAAAAAATTCAGTGAATACATGAAGAAACAACAGGAAAAACGAAAGATGTACAAACTTTGACGATATGATGATGTGGAAGGCAACCTCAGTGAAACTGGGAAAGGCAGCCAGGACCTCGGGGACCTGGGGTACTTCCAGGCACACAGCCCTTTCTGCGAGAGCGAGCAGGCGCCAAAGGCGCGGTCTCACGGTGTGCACCAAGCAGAGCTCAGGGAGTGGTGCGCCTGGCCCCTCTGCCGCGCACAGCCCAGCCCAGCCCAGCCCAGCCCATCCCAGCCCAGGACCTCTTTCCTTGAAGTAGGCACTTATCATGCTTCTTAATTTAATGCAGAGTCACCACATCATGGCAAAGATCTCTCCTTGGTGACGTCCCAAGCTTTGCACGTCCTTGGTCTTGATGGGCCAGCTAGGCTGTGGGAAGCCAGAAAGAAGTTAAAAAGCAAAAGAGGACTTAAACAAATGTGCCCATCACCCTCTCAGAAGTCGAGAATGGAAGGGAGGGAGGCAGGGCCCTGTGTCTGGCCTGTTGCTGTGAAGAGGAGAAAGGAGGCCAAACGATCTGGATGACTATGCTGGTGGGTCGAAGGTCACAGGGGAGGCTGGTCCTCTGCACACAACTCCCTCGCTGCGCTTCCCGCCTCGGTCCTATCTAGGAACGTGAGCAGGAGGTTGGGGTTGCACACGGATTCCCACGGAGGCGAAGTTCGGGTTACTGGTGCCGGGTGCGAGGGTGGGGATACGGCCACCACCTGAGGCTGGGTTCCCGGACCGCCCAGGACAGGAGTGGAATGCAATCTGCGGGAAATTCGGGAGAGCCGGGATTATAGTAAGGACGCCGCGTAACGCCGGGAGCACAGCCCCTCCACAGCGAGCGAGAGCCAAAGGTCCGCCCTCAGGGTGCATCCTGCGCCCGGGGAGGATCCTGCGCCCAGCCCGCCTGCAGCGCGCAGTCAGGCCCTGAACCCGGGGGCGGCGCTGACACTGCGGCTGCCAGACCTGGGGCAGGGCGTCTGCGCCGGGCACCCTGCCCTGACTCTAAAGTCAGAGGCCTGATCCTGTGTTCTGTTCCACCTCCCGGCCAGCCTGTTTTTTCGCTTCTGGTTTAGGAACTCCAGCCACATCTCACCTCCAAATGGACCCCAACTGCTCCTGCGCCGCTGGTAAGGGATGCCCGGTTTCGGGGCTTAGTGTCTTCATTTTCGTACTCCAGAATAGAAGGTCTCTGGGGCAGGAGGCAGGTGCATTTTGAACTCTACCTAAAATGGACTCCTTTGCTTTGCACTTCTTGAGCTTTCTCCCTGCCAAGCACCTTCACCACTACTTAGAACACTGTCATCTTCTCAGTGCCTCCCACTTCTGAGGTGAGGGACCGGCTGAAAATTGCCCAGCCATAGGTCACCCTCAAGGCCCAGTGCTTTGTCCAGCATTTGAGCTGCCTGAGGTGGATGGGAGGCACAACACTCACTGCTCACTGCCTTTTTCTTCCTTGCAGGTGTCTCCTGCACCTGTGCCAGCTCCTGCAAATGCAGAGTGCACACACACCTCCTGCAAGAAGAGTGAGTGCAGGACCATCTCCAGGAACCTGGGGGCTGGGCAGAGTCAAAGGAGGGATCTCCACAGGCCGGAGCAGACCAATGATGAGCCTCCCACATCTCCTTGCTTCAGCAAATGACTTAGGATCACAGCTGGAAGAACACTAGAGATGGTTAATTCCCAACCTTCATTCTTACTATGAGGAAGCTGACACCAAGAGCGCACAGCAGCATCCCAAGCACAGACCTGATACTTGAGGACTTTCCTCAGTTAAGTTATCATTCTAGGAGACTGCCCTTCCTTTTACTGCAAACAGCATGTCACTCCCTCTCCAGGCTTCCACCATGTCCTGGGCACAGGAGGGGTGGGCAGGTTTTTCATGGCAAGACACTCACCCCAAAGATTCAGGAGTTGTCTCCTGACAAGCAATGCCACCCTGAACTAAGAGTCCTTGGGGCTGGAGGCAAAGCTTGAGCCAGGCCTCTGTTGGGGCAGGGAGGTCGCTGGTTGAGCCTGCTCTGACCTCTCACTCTCCCCTTCTTCCCCAGGCTGCTGCTCCTGCTGCTCTGTGGGCTGTGCCAACTGTGCCCAGGGCTGTGTATGCAAAGGGGTATCAGAGAGGTACAGCTGCTGTGCCTGATATCAGATGTAAATAACACAACCCTTTCAAACCTAGAGGTTTTTAAAAATACAAGCATAACCCATTTATTGTGTCTGTTTTCTCAAGTGAAACATGGGAATGACAATAAACATTATTGGCCTTATTCTGCCTCAATGGCTTTTTTGAGGGGTGTCCTAACATAAGAGACCCCAGACCCAGCAGAGCTGGGATCATCCTATATACTGAGTGCCCTAAAGCAAGTTGGGTTACCTGTCTCTGGTCAGTTTCCTGGCTAAAAATGTAAGAGCATCATGCCAGATGATTTGAGGGCACAGGAATCAGTCGTGGACCTAAGTTTTGGTGAGATAAATAGAATGAATGAGTATGAAAAATAAAAATGCAAGGTTCATTTTTCATATTCAATAAGGAAATCTCTAAGGGACATTAAGAACAAAATAACAGAAAAAAGAACTACTAGTGCTGCACATCTGTTGTAAGGTGTAGTGATATTCAGTAGGAAGGAGGAAGACCCTGGGTGTCTTGTAATTCATGGCAACTATTAGTTATCTGGCTATTTGGTGAGGCAATTGCTGTTTGATGTTCAAAGAGGAAGAGGAGTCACGTGACCCAAGAGTAAGCATTATGCTGCCTTAAAGTGCTTTGTGAATACGGGATTTCAGAAGGTAGCCTGGCCGGGTGCAGTGGCTCACACCACTTCGGTGGCTCACATCATGCTCTGCTCAAGCCAAGGCAGGAGGATTGCCTGAGGTCAAAAGTTTGAGACCAGCCTGGGTAACTTAGTGAGAACCCCTCTCTATGTAAAACAAAACATTAAAATAAAACAAGAAGAGAAGGCAGCTTGGCCAAGTGCAGGTGGTTTGGTGTCACACAAGTGGGTTCACAGCCCACTTCACCCCTTACTGGCTGTGTGACCTGGGCAAGGTGCTTAACCTCTCTGAGGCTACATTTACTCATTTGTAGAAAGAAGATTCTATCTCTACTTTGGGATGAAATGTGATAGTGGCTTAGCACCCAGCTAGGACTCAGTGAAGAGTGCTGTTATAATCATTTGTCCACATGGACTTTGCAGACAGAGAATCCTATTAGATCTCATCAAGCTCCTTAGGAAAGGACCACCAGTTCCTTGGAAGCATGACTGTGGAGGGGAAGTTGGGAATGGGTTTGGAGTCTTGCTGATCTGGTCTTAAGGGTATGTGGGTGACTTCCTGCACCAACTCTCCAGCATAAGACACTGCTCCAGCATTTGGACAGAGAACAAGCCTTTCCCACCTTTCAAGTCATTTGATCTTCACACAAACCAGAGAGACAGTGTGTGCAGAGACTGGTTATGTAGGGGAACACTGTCCTCTAGAGTAGTTAAGAACCTGCCCAAGGTCACACAACTCACAAGGTCATCCAACTACAGGTTGGATGAACTTATGGTACAGCTGTCCTCAAGACCTCTCCAGAGCTGGCAGATCATTGTGTAAGTGGATGCTAAGCCCTCCCCATCACAGTTCTTAGCTGGAAGTGCCCTTGGTGAGTTGGCCCAATTGTGCCCTGACTGGAAAGAGGCATACTAATGCCCAGGAAGGTTAAGAGCTATGAAGGGGGATTGATTGCCAGCTATTACTCTTCCCTCTGCTGTCCTTGTGCTGGGTTTTCTGTGTCCTTGTGTTTTACATGACATAGGGTGGTGGTTGAGGCAATGACATTGCATGAGTGCAAATTTCAGCTGTGTCATTTACACCTGGGTAACACAACCTCTCTGTGGTTCAGGCTCCTACCTTGTTCCATGCATAATAACAACGTCTGGCTGGCAGGACCACATTAGTTAATTCATATAGAGAACTTAATACAGTGCTCAGTGTGTCTCAAGCAGTCTGTAATAGCTACGATTTTATTATCTTTATTCACACCATAGGGACATTTTAGTACCTCCAGACAAATAAGCCAGTCCTGATGGGCTTAGCTGTGTGTCCCATGTTGTTCCCATCAATAACATGAGCATATGACAGATGGATCCGAGAGGGAACCCTACCCAACCACAAATAGGGATCTACGCTACATATATAAAGCCATAAGCAAGATAGTTCATGTCCGCATAACAGATGTGAAAGAATTCTTGCCATTTCTGCTAACACCTGCACTGTTATTTTCCTTTAAAGAATCCTATTCCCTTAATATATTTACAGAAAAAGCAAACTCTCTGACACCACTGAAAATAAGAATCTGTCACCTTGCAGACATGGAAGGTAGCCACACAGTTATATATATCCCTCTGTATCACTTCTGTTGCTCTCTGGATTGACGTTGACATTTGTTTTCGTTTAAAGATTTCAAGCAGTAAAGAGGTGCTGAAGACATAGCAAGGGTGATGGGAAGTTTCATCACTGACCTCTTTTTTCTGAAAAGCTGAGTGGTGGCTGGGCGCGGTGGCTCAAGCCTGTAATCCCAGCACTTTGGGAGGCCGAGGTGGGTGGATCACCAGGTCAAGAGATCGAGACCATCCTGGCCAACATGGTGAAACCCAATCTTTACTAAAAATACAAAAATTGGCTGGGTGTGGTGGCGTGCACCTGTAATCCCAGCTACTTGGGAGGCTGAGGCAGAAGAATTGCTTGAACCCGGGAGGTGGAGGTTGCAGTGAGCTGAGATTGTGCCACTGCACTCCAGCCTGGCGCCTGGCAACAGAGCAAGACTCTGTCTCAACAACAACAACAGAAAAGCTAAGTGGCTTCAAACCTGCAGCACTGCTTTCACTCTCTGTCCTGGGCTAGTTACTCATCTCCTTGTGTTGTCCTTGTCTGATTAGTAAGACGCTGTCATAAAGAGTATTTCCCTTGAGGGTTGCTGTGAGGGTTGAAACAGCCAAAGTGACTAAACAGGGTCTGGCTGAGTCTAAAAGCTCTGTAATAGTTAAGAATCCTGAGAGTAATAACTACTTTTCATGCTTCTTAATTTAATGCAAGGGTGAGCACATCAGGAAAATGATCCCTCCCTTGGGAACATTCCAAGTTTTGGGAAGCTCCATCCTTGGGCCTGGTGGGCCGGCTAGGCTGTGGGAAGCCCCAGGAAGTTACAGCAAAGGAGGATGTGGACAAATGTGCCCATCACCTTCCCAGGAGTGGGGAATAGAAGGGAGGAAAGCAGGGCACTATGTCTGCTCTGTTGTTGTGAATAAGACAAACGTGGCCAAAGGACCTGGGTGGCAATGCAGGTGAGGCAAAGGTCACATGGGAGGCTGGTCCTCTGCACACAACTCCCTCGCTGCACTTCCCTATCTAGAGATGCGAGCACTAGGCTGGGGTTGCACCTGGACTCCAACAGAGGTGAGGCTTGGGTCACTGGTGCAGGGTGCTGGGCAGGGGACACCGCAACCACCTGCATCTGGGTTGCTGGACCGCGGAGGGGCAAGAGTGGACCGCAATTTCTAAGAAATTCGGGTGGGCCAGGATTATAGCAGGGACACCGCCTACCGCCAGGCACGAAGCCCCTTCAAAGCAAGTGGGAGCCAAAGGGCCGCCCCTAGGGTGCACACCAGCCTCGCTAGGGAGGATCCTCCACTTGGCCGATCTGCTGCACACAACCGGGCCCTGAACTCAGGGTGCCTCTGACACGGCTGGAGCCAGAGCCAGACCTGGGGTGGGACTTCTGCCCCAGCACCCCTCCCCAACTACAAAGCCAGAGGGGGCTCCTGGGCTCTCTGTTCCACCTCCCGCTGGCTTGCCTGCTTCTTCACCTCTGGCATAGCTACTCCAGCCTCACCTGCTCTCCAGATGGACCCCAACTGCTCCTGCGCCACTGGCAAAGTATGCCAGGTTTTGGGGCATTTAGGATCCCTGATTTTTAATGGGGGATTAAAAAATGCAGGAGGCAGGTGCACTTTGAGCTCTACCTAAAGTAGATTCTTTTTGCCTTGTACTTCTGATGCTTTTTTTCTTACCATGAACCTTTTTATTATTACTGAAAACCTTACCATTGTCCCAGTGCCTCCCATTTCCAAGGAGAGAGGAATGAGGCTCAAAACTGCCCCTGCTCCAGGTCACCCATAGGCCAGAGGTGTGCTGAGCTGGGACCCAGTGCTCTGTCAGGCATTTGAGCTGCTTGGGCTGGTAGGGAGGTGGGAGACATTGCTTCTTCAAGATTCCCCACTTAAGTCTCTGTGTGGTATGAAAAAGAGGGCACCTGCCCATCCGAGCCTGTGGGGAGGAAAGGCAGGGCTGGGCTTCCCATGCCTGGATGGAACTAGGTAACAGGTTTCCCGTGCAGTGAGCAGGAGGATGCTGAGGGGCTGCTTCTAACCCTGCACCACACTCACTGCTCACTGCCTTTTTCTCTTCCCTGCAGGTGGCTCCAGCACCTGCACCAGCTCCTGCAAATGCAAAGAGTGCACCTGCACCTCCTACAGGGAGAGTGAGTTCGGGGCCTTCTCTGAGAATCTGGGGGCTGAGCAGAGTCAGAGGAGGGAACCCAGAGTTGAGCGGGGAGGAGCAGGACAGTAACCAGCTTTCCACACCTCCTTTCCTGGCAACTGACTCAGGATCACAGCTGGAAAAACAAGATGGTTGATTCCCAACTTTCATTCTTAAAATAGGGAAACTGAGCCCTCACGAATGCACCAGCCTGCCAAGCACAGACCTGATACTGCAGGACTTTTCTCACTTAAGCCAGTGGTTCTGGGGAACTGGTTTTCCTTTGTCCCTGTTGCCCCAGCCACTACCTCTCCAGTCTTCTGTCCTCTCCTGGGTATAGGTTGTGCTGGGCAGCTTTTCACTGGGAGACCCTCATTCCAAAGATCCAGTTGACACCTGACAGAGCAATGCCACCATGGACTAAGGGTCCTCTGGAGCTGGAGGTAGGGCTTGAGCCAGGCCTCTGTTGGGGCAGAGAGGTCTCCAGTCAAGTCTGCTCTGACCTCGACTCTCCCCTTCTTCCCCACACTGCTGCACCTGCTGCCCTATGGGCTGTGCCAACTGTGCCCAGGGCTGCATCTGCAAAGAGGCATAAGACAAGTGCAGCTACTGTGCCTCATGTCAGGACAGCCCTGCTCTCAGATGTACAAAGAGTGACCTAAACAAATTTGGAATTTTTTTCCATACAACCATGGCCTTACTATATTTGTCTCTCTTTTACAAAATATGTGAATGATAATAAAAGTTGTGGCCTTTATTCTGGATCTGGTTTTCTTTGTGTGCCTTGGAAATAGGGGGCCCCATACTCAACAGAGCTGGCATGGGTGATTGCATTGTCCAGAGACGTGGGTGCCCGGACCATGTCCTATCATCCTGCATGCTGAATGGCTTAAGGAAAATCAGGTTCCCTGTCTCAGGTCACTTTTTCAGCTAAAAGAGATTCCTATAAGATGATAATGTGGTGTGTTTTTTTGTGCCTTTCTGTGTTGAGCTGCATAGTCCACTTAATCACTGGCAGATGTGAGAGGAGGGAGGCAGCTCATAAAAGGGCACAGGAATCTGTTGCACACCTAAGCTTTGATAAGCTAAACTGTTTTAGTATGATAAAATAATAAGAGAAAATCCATTTTTATATTCAACAAGTAAACAAGTATCTACAAACATGTGAATATATGAATAGCAAAATTACATGAGAAATAAAAGAATTACAAACACTACCCATTTTTTCTGGAGTGTACATTTCACACTGGAGACAGTCATCCAATCAGTCCTTGTGCATGGCTAGCACAACTTGAGCACCCCTGGAGGGGACATTCCCCCAGGACCCATCAATCTTTACCTGCCCCATGCCACTGATGGGAGTCTCCCTTCACCTCAAAACTCCCTCTTGGGACTTGGCTCTAATCTGTACCTCTCCCAAGGTGAGGATGAAATTGGCCTCTCCCTCAGCCCTTGGTTACTTCAGGCAAGCTGAGTGAGTGGGAATGGAGGAGGAAGTGCCCAGCATTGTTCTGCCAAGATGTCTGTAGATAGAAACTGGTTTCCAGATGATGTACTTTGAGTGCACCTGTGCGGGGTGTGATGGCATATTCTGTGGTCTGCAGATGCTTTGCTGTTCATTAAGGAGGAGTGAGAACTGTGACTAGTAATTAGGCCAACAGTGGTCACCCTGCTTATTTGTTGAGGGAATTGCTATTTGTTTTCTGTATTTCTTTTTTTTTTCTTTTTGAATTGGTATTCATTGTTCAGCCACAGGGGAAGATAAGGCCTGTGGCCCAGGAGTCAGGACCATGCTTGCCCACAGATGCCCTCTGTGAAGAGCACATTTCAGAAGACAGCCTGGGCCAAGTGCAGGTTTCGGTGTCACACAACCAGGTTCACAGCCCACTGCGCCACTTACTGGCTGTGTGGCCTGCACAAGTCACCTGATCTTTCTGAGTCCCCATTTCCTCATTTGTAGAAAGATTATTTCTCCACATTGGGATAAAATGTGACAGTGGCATGGCACCTGGCTGGGGTTAATCAACAGTCCTGTTATAAGCATTTGTCCACATGGACCTTCTGGAGAGAGAATCCTGTTAGCTCCCATCAAGCTCCTTGGGAAAGGCCCATCTGTGAGTCATTTGATGTTAACACAAACCAGAGTAACAGTGTACAGAAGTTGGCTGGACAGGGGCGCACTGTCCTCTAGAGTAGTTAAGAACCTGCCCAAAGTCACACAACTCAGTAGTATAGAAATGGATTAACTTATGGTACAGAGGTCCTCATGTCCTCTCCAGAGCTGGCAGATATGTCACTGGTTGCTAAGCCTTGCTCCTAACAGTTCACAGCCAGAGGGGCCCTTGGTCAGTAAGACCAATTGTGCCCCTAGCTTGAGAAAGAATATACCAAAGCCCAGAGAGATCACAGAGCCATGCAGAGGAATCTGAATGCCAGCTCCACACTTTTCCCCCCTGTGCCTCTGTGCCAGATTTCAGTGTCCTGGTCTTTCCCCTGACAGGGTGACACAGGTTTTTAATTGAGAGCATTATGCTGCAGTCAGCCTGCATGTGTGCAAATCACAGCTGTGCTGCTTCTATCTGGGTAACACAACCTCTCTGTAGCTCCGCCTCCTGCATTGTGAAAGGGGTATAATACTGTCATGCACCACGTAACATTTTAGCCACGGATTGCATATAGCATGATGGTCCCTTAAGATTATGTTTTTTGTTTGTTTGCTTTTGAAACTGAGTCTTGCTCTGTTGTCCCAGCTGGAGTGCAATGGTGCGATCTCAGCTTACTGCAACCTTTATTCTTTCACTTGCTTGATTGCTCTGGCCAGAACTTCCAATACTATGTTGAATATGAGTGGTGAAAAAGGGCATCCTGGTCTTCTGCCAGTTTTTAAAGGTAAAGCTTCCAGCTTTTGCCCATTCAGTATGATAACGGTTGTGGGTTTATCATAAATAACTGGGGTTTTTTTTTGAGATATGTTCCATCAATACCTAGTTTGTTGAGAGTTTTTAACATGAAACGATGTTGAATTTTATCGAAGGCCTTTTCTGCATCTATTGAGATAATTGTGCAGTTTTTTATCATTGGATCTGTTTATGTGATGGATTACAGTTGTTAATTTACATATGTTGAACCAGCCCAGCCTTCTATCTCAGAGATGAAATGGACTTGGTCATGGTGGATAAGCTTTTTGAGGTTTGTCAGTATTTTACTGAATATTTTTGCTTCGATGTTCATCAGGGATATCACCCTGAAGTTTTCTTTCTTTGTTGCATCTCTGTCAGATTTTGGAATCAGGATGATGCTGGCCTCATAAAATGAGTTAGGCAGGAGTCCCACCTTTTCAATTGTTTGGAATAGTTTCAGAAGGAATGGTACCAGCTCTTCTTTGTACCTCTGGTAGAATTCGGCTGTAAATGCGTCTCGTCCTGTGATTTATTTATTTATTTATTTGGTTGGTAGGCTATTAATTACTGCCAGAATTTCAGAACTTGAGATTAGTCTCTTCAAGGATTTGACTTCTTCCTGGTTTAGTCTTGGGAGGGTGTATGTGTCCAGGAGTTTATTCATTTCTTCTAGATTTTCTAGTTTTTTTTACATAGAGGTGTTTATAGTATTCTCTGGTGGTAGTTTGTACTTCTGTGGGGTCAGTGGTGATATCCCTTTTTCATTTTTTTATTGTGTCTATTTGATTCTTCTTTCTTTTCTTCTTTATTAATCTTTAATAATAGCTGGCAGTCTATTTATTTTGTTAATATTTTCAAAAAACCAGCTCCTGGATTCATTGATTTTTTTTTTTTTGAAGGGTTTTTTGTGTCTCTATCTCCTTCAGTTCTGCTCTGATCTTAGTTATTTCTTGTGAATATCCTTTTTAATTTTTTGTCTCGTTGATCTGTCTAATATTGACAGTAGGGTGTTAAAGTCTCCCACTATTATTGTGTGGGAGTCTAAGTCTCTTTGTAGGTCTCTAAGAATTAATTTGCTTTATAAATCTGGGCACTCCTATATTGGGTGACTATATATTTAGGATAGTTAGCTCTTCTTGTTGAATCGATCCCTTTACTATTATGAATTGATCCCTATACCATTATGCCCTTTGTCTTTTTTAATCTTTGTTGATTTAAAGTCTGTTTTGTCAGAGGCCAGGATTGCAAACTCTGTTTCTTTTCGTTTTGGCTTTCCATTTGCTTGGTAAATTTTCCTCCATCCCTTTATTTTGAGCCTATGTATGTCTTGGCACATGATATAGGCCTCTTGAATCCAGCACACTAATGGGTCTTGACTCTATCCAATTTGCCTATCTGTGTCTTTTTATTGGGGCATTTAATTCACTTACATTTAATGTTAACATTGTTACGTGTGAATTTCATCCTGTCATCATGATGCCAGCTGGTTATTTTGCACATTAGTTGATGCAGTTTCTTCATAGTGACTTTAATCTTTATATTTTGGTATGTTTTTACAGTGGCTGGTACCGGTTTTTCCTTTCTGTGTTTAGTGTTTCCTTCAGGAGCTCTTGCAAGGCGGGCCTGATGGTGATGAAATCCCTGAGGATTTGCTTGTCTGAGAAGAATTTTATTTCTCCTTCACTTATGGAGCTTAGTTTGACTGGATATACAATTCTGGGTTGAAATTTATTTATTTTTAAAAAAATGTTGAGTATTGACCCCTACCCTCTTCTGGCTTGTACGGTTTCTGCTGAGAGAACTGCCATTAGTCTGATGGGCTTCCCTGTAGGTAACCTGGCCTTTCTCCTTGGCTGCCCTTAACATTTCTTCCTTCATTTTGACCTTGGAGAATCTGATGATTCTGTCTTGGTGTTGATCTTCTCATGAAATATCTTAGTGGTGTTCTCTGTAATTCCTGAATTTGAATGTTGGCCTGTCTTGCTATGTTGGGGAAGTTCTCCATGATAATATCCTGAAGTATGTTTTTCCAACTAGGTTCCATTCTCCTCTTTCAGGTACTCCAGTCAATTGTAGGTTCAGTCTTTTTACATAGTCCCATTTTTCTCAGAGCTTTTGTTTGTTCCTTTTCATTCTTTTTTCTGTAATCTTGTCTGCCTGCCCTATTTCAGCAAGGTGGTCTTTGCACTCAATATTGTTTCTTCTGCTTAACCTATTTGGCTATTGATACTTGTGTATGCTTCACAAAGTTCTTGTGCTGTGTTTTTCAGCTCCATCAACGTGCTTCTTTAGCTCAGCAAAGTTTATTACCCACATTCTGAAGCCTACTTCTGTCAATTCATCCATCTTATCCTAAGTCCAGTTCTGTGCCCTTGCTGGAGAGGTGTTGTAATTATTTGGAGGAGAAGAGGCACTCTGACCTTTTTAGTTTCAATCTTTAAGGCTTCTGACACTTGGATGAGGTTTTTGTGGGGACTTTTCATGTTGATGCTGTCATTGCTTTCTGTTTGCTTTTCTTTCAATGGTCAGGTCCCTGTTTTGTAGTTCTGCTGTGGGGGTTCACTTCAGGCCCTATTCATCTGGCTCACTCCTGAGCTTGGCGATGTCACTTGAAGAGGCTGGAGAACAGCAAAGATGGGTGCCTCCTCCTTCCTCTGAGATGTCAGACCTTGAAGGTACTAACCTGATGCCAATGGGAATTCTTCTGTATAGGGTGTCTGAAAACCTCTGTTGCAGAGTCTCACCAAGTTGGGTGGCACAGGGAGCAGGACCCATTGGTGGAGGGGGTGTGCCACGGTGGAGAGAAACTCACTCACCTGAGCTGTCTGGATTCCTCAGAACTAGAAGGAGGAAAGACTAAGTCTGCTGGTTTGTGGAGAAGATAACTACTCCTCCCCCTAAGGACACAGGCCCAGGATTATCAGAGTTCTGTCCCTGAGCCCCTGGATGGAGTTATTGGAGTTCCTGCAGGGAGGCCCCACCCAGTGAGGAGGGATGGGTCAGGGTCAGACCTGAAAAGGCACTCTGGCTACAGCCTGCCACAGCCCATGTGTTGGGCTGTGGGGAATACCTCTTAGGACCAAGTCTTCCAGCCTCACTGGCTCCAGCTAGGGAAAAGCACAGCCTGGAGCTATAGAGATGGCTGCCACCCTTCCCCCACCCTGAGAGCTTAGTGTGTTAGGCAGCTAGCAGTCCCACTGTTGGCTGCTGCCCTTTCCCCAAGGAGCTCAGAAGGCTTAGACAGTAGGCAGCCACTCCCCTCCCACCTCAGGAACTCAGCAGGCTTAGGCAATTTCTAGCTGGGTGGCTGTTGAGAATCTGCACAACTTTGTGGTTTTTTGGACCCCAGTGGTATGGGCTCACTAGTGGGATTTTCTGATCTGTGGGTTACACAGTTCCATGAGAAAAGCATAGTTTCCCAGGTTGGGTAGCACTCTCACTCACCACCTCCCTTGGCTCGGGGGTGGAAGCTCCCTGTCCTGTGTGGCTCTCAGCTGAGCCACTGCACCGACCCTGCTGACACCATGGTCTTGAACCTCCAGCCTCCAGAACTGTGAGAACACATTTCTGTTGTTTCTGCCCCCCAGTCTGTGGTACTTTGATATGGCACTCCTAGAACACTAATAGAGACGGCTAGCACAATAAACTTAAAACTCAGATGTTACATGCAGCTTTAAATATACCAGTTCCTTCTTACATAAAACTGCAGTTAGATTTCTTATTAAAACTGTTTCAACTGTGTTGTCTACTAAGGTAATTTGCTAGTTTGATTTTATAAGGTTAAGTATTCTGAAATTAAACTTGAAACTAACCATCAAAAATGCCATATTACACATTCCTGACACCAATACATTGTTTTAAGTTATATACTAAGGGGGTCAGGAACCTTTAAAACTAACCTACCAGGCTGGGCGCGGTGGCTCATGCCTATAATCCCAGCACTTTGGGAGGCCGAGGCGGGTCACGAGGTCAGGAGATCGAGATCATCCTGGTCAACACAGCGAAACCCCACCTCTACTAAAATACAAAAAATTAACCAGGCTTCGTGGCATGCTCCTGTAGTACCAACTACTCAGGAGGTTGAGGCAGGGGAAATCACCTGAACTCAGGAGACGGAGGTTGCAGCCAGCCAAGATCGCGCCATTGCACTCCAGCCTGGTGACAGGGTGAGACTCCGTCTCAAAAAAATTAAATAAATAAATAATTAAAACTAACCTACCATAAAATGGCATTTCTGTCATTTAATATGTATGGCCTGTAACAGAAACTTCCAAGTTAGTTCAAACATACTTTTACTAGGCTTAAAAACAGGCATTTAAAAATGCCACTCAATCTATTTTTAACAAACAAATGAATTTTAAAACTTTCCTATAAATGAACATGAAGGCTTTGCAAAGCTGACACAGGCACTTTATAATAAATAGGTAACTACACAAAAAGATGAAATAACTGAACAAGCTGCCAAGGTGCCCTTTATCTTGCAGCAATGTGTGGAGTAGATCAAGCGTCATGGCATGAAGGAGGTGGGCATCTACTGCGGGTCTGGAGTGGCCCCGGACATCCAGGCACTGAAGGCAGCCTTTGTCATCAGCCGGATCGTGTTGTGATGGAGGTGTGGGCGTGAATGTCCACAGTGAGATCTCACACGCTCCATGGCTGGGTCACATCACATTCTTTACTGTGTCTTTTCTTCATTTACTGTTCTATAATTTTTTAAAAAGAGAAGACAGGGGTTGTAGAAGGAGCTTCTGTAGAAGCCAGTTCTTGAACCATCCTACCCACCCATGCCACTTGCTGGGTGGACCCGGGGCTGCCGGGGGGCCTTGGCCTTCCTGCCTTGAGGGTGGACATGAGGTGCAGAAGCCTGGGACTCAGTGTGTTCTGTCCACTGCCCTGTATGAGGATGTGGTGGGCAGAGGGCACTGATGGGACCCAGCCCAGGCTAAGGCTGCACCACCTCCACCTCCATCTCACCACCCCTCATGGAGTATTAAGGACATGGACCTGCCCCAAATACCAGGGGAGGGCACTGAGAACCCAGAGTGTCCTTGTCCAGCAACTTCAAAGCAACAAGACTTTGTGCCTGTGACCTTTCTTTGGGGCACACACCACCCACCCAGACCAGGACCCGTAGAATGCCCAGCACCCCTGGGTGGGCCATGCGGTAGTTTCAGTTCCCTCTGGAGACCCAGGATGGACCTGGCCTGTGGTGGGGAGGTCAGCTCCAGTGGCCAACTGGATCCAAAGGAAGACACTGGTTCAAACACTGAAACCCATCGGATTCTCCCACAGCCTTCCTGCTGTCAGAAGACTGGTACAGGGGTGGTTGCTATGAACAGGGCAGAGCCACCTGATTCCCATGCAGGCTCTGAGTCCTGCCGCACTGGCCTCCTCCTGGACATCACATTGGGCCAAGCAGGGGAGAAATATGGGGATGCACACACCCCTCCATCATCTCTACACAGACACAGAACCACGCACAGCTCTTGGGAGGAGGAGGATGAGCTGCTCAAAGCCAAGGAGGGACCCACACAGTGGCCAGCGTGGCAGGGACAGTGCTTTAGCCAAGGCAGGGATGGCGGGAGACCCACTTGGGATCCTCAAGGAGGCTGCAGCATTTCCATAGTCTTTCCAGATAACAGGGACGTGACGATGATGATGAGTGAGATGGACGTACACGCCATCGCAGACATGCTGAAGCTCTACTTCCGTCAGCTGCCTGAGCCCCTCTTCACTGACAAGTTCTACCCAACTTTGATGAGGGCATCGGTGAGCACTGGAGGCCTTGGAGTCACAGGAGGCGTCTCCTCCATGTGCACTGCTGCCATTAGGGGCTGTGGAAAGTGAGGTGTGGGAACCCAAGCTGTGTCCTTTCAGCCATGGTCAGTGTTTTAACCAAGCTCAGAAAGCAGGGGCCACAACCGAGGCTGTTGTGTAAGTCCTTGTCTGTCCCCAGAGGACTCCTTGTCCTATTCCTCAAGGAGACCAAGAGAGTAAAATGCTCAGCACTGCTGTGCTGTGGGGTCCTAAAGTCTGCTGTCCCCCTTCCAGCAGACCAGGGCTGAACGAGGGTCCCCAGGTGCTCTAGCCATGGGTCCTGGCCCAGTCAAGCACAGGATCAAACCTGGCCTGACCCCAAGTCAACCTGGAGGCTGATGTCTAAGCAGGGCACTGGCGTGTGTGGCCCTGTATCCTCTGCATGACCCTTAGGGCAGGCCTGTGTCCTGGGCCCACACCTAGAGGAACTGGTCTACCAGCCTGAGGTGCCCCTGCAGAGTCTAGGGTGAAGAGAGGATCTCTGCTTAGTTTGTGGGGCTGGGGCCACCCACCTCCCACCTCCTTGTGTCCCTCACTCCCCTCTTTCATTTCATGCTGAGCCTCCACTACTCTGGGCTGCCCTCGGGAGGGGGTGGCAGCCGCAGTTTCCCACGGGGAGCTCTGCCTGTGAGCCACTACTCTCACGCCACCTCCTGCTGCTGTTCTCCAGGTGCTGCTGGCCCCTGTGAGGCAGAGAAAAGGGATTCAGGTGGCTTATACCCCACACTGGCACCCTTCACAGGGTCCTCATTGGGGGCCAGCGCTGTGGGAGTGAGGATGATGACGAGCCTGGGCTGTTCAGGAACACGTGTCCCGGGTCACCATTCCATGTCACCACCTTGGGAGAGGTCTCCAGCTCGTTGTGACCATGAGGAGTAACTGACTGCCTTCTGCAGTAATTTCAGACCCCGCTGCAAAGGAGAATTCCATGCTTAACCTGCCCTTGTCCCGGCTGGAGGCCAACCTGCTCACCTTCCTTTCCCTTCTGGACCACCTGAAAAGGTAGCCCAGCTCTCTCATGGCTGCCCAGGGAGGGCTACAAGAACCCAGGCCACAGCGTGCCCCTCTGCTCACATCAGACCCCCAGCACCGAGGACCTTTTCCCCCAACCCATCTATAGTTACTCACTGCATCTGGAGACCAGTGCCACTGCCACCCCCACCCCAGCCTCTCCTCTTTGCCCTGCTCCCTCCTCTGCATTGTGGCTTCACAAAGAGCTCAGAACTTTGGCCATGGCCAGTAGTTCACTTGAACCCCCCAACTCCGTCACTCCCTGACCGTGGAGGAGACCTCCCCACCAGCCCAGAGCTAACCCCTCATCCTGGGCCGCTGAGACCTAAAAGTACCAGGGCTGGAATCAGCTTGCAGCACAGCCAGGGTCGAGGTCACTCCCTCCCAGAGGACTCCAGCACAGCACAGCCCCTCTGCCTCTTTCCTGGTGGTGGCGTAGAAACAGCACTCTCTGCTTCGGTCCTGCACAGGGTGGTAAGAAAAAGGCAGTCAATAAAAGTCCCTGCACAACCTGGCCATGGTCTTTGGCCCCACACTGCTTCAGCCTCAGAGAAAGAGAGCAAGCTTTCTGCCAATCCCAGCGGCCCATCACCATGACTGACAGCTGGTCCTTGGAGGTCACGACCTATGTGTGGGAAGACAGGCTCCAGCCAGCCCATGCCACCCCGACCTGACAGAGGTGACCTCTGCCTGCCACACCGCCAGTCTTGCCCTACCCAGCTTCCTGCTTGCGTTGTCTGTGGTGGCGCCTGACATTCGGAGAGAGAAACTTGCCTAGGTCTGCATGGATGAGTGTTGGGGTGGCCCAGGCCACCTTTTGGTCCTGCTGGTGCACCTTACTGGGGGCTTAAAACTGCCCCAAGTGTTTGGGTGTGGAGGCTCATGCTTGTAATCCCAGCACTTTGAGAGACCGTGGAAGGATAACTGAACCCAGGTGTTTGAGACCAGTCTGGACAATGCAGCAAACCCTATCTCTAGAAAAGAGAAAAAGAAAAATTAGTCAGGCATTGTGGCACACACCTGTAGTCCTAGCTACTGGGGAGGCTGACGCAGGAGGATGGCTTGAGCCTAGCAGTTAGAGGCTGCAGTGATCCATGATGGAGCCACTATACTCCAGCCTGGGTGACAGAGCAAGGCCCTGTGCACCTCTAAAATAACCCCCCCAAGTCATGCCTTGTCCGCATCCACACCCCCACCTCCCGACTCACTGTAAAGGCTTCATGGCAGCAGCAGAGGACCCAGCACCTGAGCTGAACTTGGGGGCTAAAGATCACCAGCTGTGAGCACCCTCTGAGCCTCTCTCCTCTTTCCCACTCTTTCTGGCAGGTCCAGGTGCTGCTGTACTTCCTGCAGCTGGAGGCCATCCCTGTCCCCTACAGTAAGAGACAGGGCATCCTGTTCTCAACCAAAGTCTTAAGGCCCCTGTCCATCTCCAGAAGGCAGATAGACGTCCCTGAAACCTCTGGATAATTGGACCATCTGTAGACTGGGAACCAAACCTTCCTGAGGTGTCCTTGGGCCAGCCCCAAGCATCAGGACGTCTGCCAAGGGACAGTGAGACAAAGCAGGACAGGTGGCCTGGGGACATCCTGGCCAGGTCTGGGAGCCCAGACTGGCCCTAAACTGTGGTTTTCCACACAGCCACCCGAGGGCACCCCAAGCCAGTGTATCTCAGAGTCTGGGCCAGGCCCTGGGGGACAGAGTGAAGGGAGTGGTTTTTTATATTTATATTTTTCCTGGATCACTTCTCCTGGAGATGGGAACGTGACGGGATCCCCTCACTGTTGTATATTGAATAAATGCTGCTGCTTCATCCTCTGGGGTCATGGCCCTGTCCCTGTGTGGGAGGGGCCTCTTCCATTCCCTGACTCAGAAACCACACTCCATTTAGAAAAGAATTGAGAGGGTAAGTCAGCACTGGGTAAGGTTTTGACTCCATTCACGGCTTTCTTTTTTCTTCTTTCCAGAAGGAATTCTGTGCAGAAATGGATCTTTTCTTGCTGTGTTTGTCCTTATTGGAAGGCAGCTCCAGGAGGCCTGTGAAATGTTGGGGGACTGGACCCCAGGGGAGGGAGTCCCAGGCTGTGTGCTTTAGGATTCCTCCCCCAGGGAGAGCAACCTCAACCCCGATCCTGACCGCCCTCCTGGCTCATGCTCTCCTGTTTGGCTTCCACAGGCCAGGACTTCTCTGGCTTCCTCTGCCCACACTCTCCCTGCCTCAAGTGTCCCCAGCACAGGTGGCTTCATTTTTCTCTCAACTCAGGGAACTTGCTCACTTCTGTAAAAGACCCCACTTAGTGGAAGAAGCTTGCTGATGGCATGTTTTAAAACTGATTCAAATAACCTTTTAATACTTGAATATTTTAAGTTTTATACATAGTTCTTACTTGTTTTTCTAACAGATTCAGATACCTAATAAAATCCTAGAATGGCACCATTTTGTCTTCCTCTAAGCACCTGGCTCTACTCTTCTCAGGAGTGGGTTCTGAGGTCTCTGGCCTACAGGATATTCAGAAGATCAGGAAGAAGCCCGGCCTAGGGACGGAGGGGCAGGGGGATGGCCTCCTTCCTCGAGCAGGCAGAGGCACAGAACCACCTGCCGCCCCCTCTGCCAGCACCTGTGTGGGAGCCCAGGCATCCTTTGTAACCCTGCATGACCACCAGGCTGAAAGAAAACAGAAGCCTGGAGGCCACCACTTATTCTCAACAAATTAACCCATAAACAATTCCCTCACTTTTTCAGAAAAAGGAGGTTGGGGCAAGGAGAGGGGAGAAGGGAGACAAAACCCAGAGCCGAGTTTCCAGAAAATCCTGCAGGAGAAGAGGATCCTGCAGCTGCCCAGAGGGGGGAAGCAGGATCACACTCAGGAAAGTGTGTGGGGTCCTGGATGACACCAACACCCAGTGCAGTTCTGTCCGGTGACCTCTCCCAAGGTGGGGACGGTGAGTGTTCCCTGGATGTCCGTGGGCAGATCCTGCTGAGCACGCAGCATGTTGGGGAGTCTGACACTGGAGCCATGTGCCTCACACTCCTCTCTGCTTGTGGACCTGGTAAGGCAGGGAGCAGAAAACAAAACCACGTGAAAGTTTTCTGTCTGTGTCTGTGTGTAGTGTTGATTTAGTTGTGCTTTCTTTCTTGCTGGGAGAGCATAGCCACTGTTTGCAAGAAGTGTCGCCCTCGTGGGTGGGAGGACAGAACAGGAGCCTCTGCCCTCTGTACCTTTCTGGGCCTGCTGGGCTCCCCTGTCCTGGCTGCCATCTCTGTCTGTCTCTGCAACCCTCCAGCCCTGCAAGGGAACACATGTAGCTTAGAAAAGCCAAATCCAGCCCTTGTCTCAGTCTCCTGTTTTCATGATGTAAATCTGCCACCTTGAAACTGGAAAGGGCTGAGAAACGAAGGGTTCTCTGGGACGGGGAATCAGCTCCTCCCCTGCAATGCAGGCAAAGGCCTGGACATCAGTGTGATCTCCCACAAGGCATGGCTGCTAGACTTTCCGACCACAAGTGATGCTTTTTTGCATCAGGCTCTGGGTTTGAAGCAGCCGGACTTTCTCTCTCGGTAAGTGGCTGGTGTCTTAGCAGCTGCAATGGAGTTCATCCACCTACACACCACCGTGGGGGAAAGAACTGGCGACATTTCATTAACGTTCTCTGAGATGACTTGCGTGCATGTCGATTTTATCATCAGAGCCACTGGGTAGAAGCCCTGAGCCAGTAGGGCTGAAAGCAGCAGGGATGGGCTGGGTGCCCAGGAGACCTCAGTGCTCAGTCAGGCAAAGATGGCCACGCACAGGCCACAGAGAAGGCAGGCCTGGCAAGGGGGCGGGGTGTGGGTGAGCACAGGCAGGTGCCAGCTGGACAGTGTTAGGACATTGGAGCAGCAGCAGTAACTCCACTGAGTCAGGCAGTCTGGTTGGGGTGGGAACACTGTTGCTTTCCTGGAGAGAGACGATCGCCTCTTAGGAGAGGCTGTTCTGCCGCTGCAGGTGGGTCCCGGACAGATCCTGCCAGGATGACGTGGCTGGTGCTCCATTGCTGTGCTGGGCCCTGGGACAGGGAGGACTCCCGCCACACACAGCCCAGGCCCAGGTTCTTACCTGCAGCCTCCACTCTGGCACAAGCCCCTCAGCCTTGGGACTGGAGTTTGGTGTGGCTGCTGAGTCCAGCCTTTCCTTGTGGCTGTGTCCAAGCCAAGGCCAGGCCACTATCATGGCCCAGGGAGCAGGACCATTCACTTCTGCCCCAAATCTGAGATCATTCCACTTCGAAGGGACTTCCTCATTTAATCCCTTTATTTGATAGCTGGAGAGACCAAGGTGCACAGAGCACCCCCAGCTCACTTGTGGTCTCAGAGCTGATCCATGAGCAGAGGCTGAGATCCTGGGATCTTGTCCCCCTGCCTCCCCGTAAGCTCACTTCCTTTCTGCTGGATGAGATGGGGCCGGACCTTGACCAGCAGCCCTGCCTGGACATGACCACTCATGCAGGCGCTCGGGCCGAGATGTCCTGGCATCGTGTATTTTATTATTATTCTGAGACAGAGTCTCGCTCTGTCACCCAGGCTGGAGTGCAGTGGCACGATCTTGGCTCAGTGCAACCTCTGCCTCCCGGGTTAAAGTGATTCTCCTGCCTCAGCCTTTGAAGTAACTGGGACTACAGGCTCACACCACCACGCCTGGCTAATTTTTGTATTCTTAGGAGAGGCGGGCTTTCCTCATGTTGGCCAGGGTGGTGTTGAACTCTTCACCTCAGGTGATCTGCCTTCCTTGGCATCCCAAAGTGGTGAAATTACAGGTGTGAACTACCCCATGATTTAAATGTAGTGAGAGGCCAGGCACCGTGGCTCACCCCGATAATCCCAATACTTTGATATAATGAGGCAAACAGATCACCTGAGGTCAGGAGTTGGAGACCAGCAAGGCCAACCTGGTGAAACCCCATCTCTACAAAAAATAGAAAAAATTGTCCCTGCCCAGTGGGGCACACCTATAGTCCTAGTTACTCTGGAGACTAAGGCATGAGAATGGCTTGGACCCCAGAGGCAGAGACTGCAGTGAGCTGAGATGGAGCCACTGCACTTCAGCCTGGGCAACAACGTGAGACCCTGTCTCTAAATAAATAAATAAATGTGGTGGAGCATGGTGGCTCATGCCTGCAATCCCAGCACTTTGGGAGGCCGAGGCAGGCGGATAATGAAGTCAGGAGTTTGAGACCAGCCTGACCAAAATGGTGAAATTTGGTTTTTACTAAAAATACAAAAATTAGCAGGACGAGGTGGCACTTGCCTTTATACCCAGGTACTGTTGACACTGAGGCAGGAGAATTGCTTGAACCCAGGAGGCAGAGGTGCAGCTAGCCAAGTTCGGGCCACTGCACTCTAGCCAGAATGACTGCTCAACACTCCAGCTCAAATAAATAAGAAATAAATAAATGTAAGCCTGTAATTCTATCACTTTGGGAGACTTCAGTAGATAGTTCACCTGAAGTCAGGAGTTCGAGATCAGCCTGGCCAATATGGGGAAACCCCGTCTCTACCAAAAATATAAATACTAGCTTGGTGTTGTGGCATGCGCCTGTAGTCTCAGCTTCTCAGGAAGCTGAGACAGGAGAATTACTTGAACCCAGAAGGCGGAGGTTGCAGTAAGCCAAGATCACACCACTGAACTTCAGCCTAGGCGACAGAGCCAGACTCTGTCTCAAAATAAATAGATAAATGAAATTAAAAATAAAAAAAATGTAGTAAGATTGCAGAGTTGTGCAGTGGAAGCGTGCTAGTCCTATCCAGGTGGTGAAGGCAGACTTCATACACAAATCTCACGAGAACTTTTGTACCCACTCCTGAAAGAAAGCCCTGATTGCCTTCCAAAGAAGCAGTACATGGACAAATGCATGGGCTGTCCCAAACAGCGCTGGAAAGATCAACAGAAAATAGGGAGTGACATGTTCAGCCCTTGAGGCCAAAATGCCCTTTTTCAGAGCAGCTGCCAGAGACAGCGAGCAGGATTGGGTTGGAAGTCACCTGTGGGTGAAGGGGAGAATGGTCAGATCTGGACAGGGGTGTAGGAGCCTGGGCATTCTCACTGGAACAGAAGAGAGCTGCTCCATGATGCTCAGCTGACAGGCAGAGCCTTGCAAATCCAAGTTCTCATGGTACAGAGAGGCCAGCCAAGGCGAGGACAAAGACAGGCATGCAGAGGAATAGTTTCCTGGAGGACAGGGCCCAGTTACATCTCTCAAATGGGACTAGATTGGTAGGAAGATCAGCTGCTTTGGGCAACCGAGGTCTCTTCTGGGTGAGCTCCCAAACTAGATGGTGCGAGGGGCCCTGGACCAGGCAGCTGGACTGGACATCTCATGGTCCTGTATTCCAGGAAACAGCATCTCAGCACTTGTCTGGCCAGTTCTCCAAAAGAACCATCCACATGCCATCTTTCCATTTCCCCCCTGTTCACAAACTGGGCAGGGCCTGACCAGAAACTCTCCCTTAGGGTTTTCGTCACTGCCAAAATCGGAGCCCGGCAGTGAGGAGGTGATGTTAACATGTGACTCTGGGCCAGGTGCTGCCTCATGCTCTAAACTCAGTGCTTTTGGGAGGCTGAGCTGGGAGGATCACTTGACATCAGCAGTTCAAGACAAACCTGAGGAACATAGATCTCTACAAGAAAATAAAAATAAAAATTACCCAGCTCTGGTGACATGCACCCGGAGTCCCAGCTACTCGGGAGGCTGGAGCTCAGGCGTTCAAAGCTGTAGCTCTGATGTTGCTGCTGCACTCCAACATGAGAGACAGAGTGAGGCCATGTCCTGAAAAAGGAACAAATAAGCTAGTCATAAAATAAACATACCTGAAAATGGCTGGGCACACGGCTCACACCTGTAATCCCAGAACTTTGGGAGGCTGAGGTGAGTGGATCACCTGATGTCAGGAATTCAAGAGCAGCCTGGCCAACATGTTGAAACCCCATCTCTACTAAAAGTACAAAAATTAGCCAGGCATGGTGGTGGGCACCTGTAATCCCAGCTACTCAGGATTCTGAGGCAGGAGAATTGCGGGAACCTGGGAGACAGAGGTTGCAGTGAGCTGAGATCCTGCCATTGCACTGTAGCCTGGGTGAAAAGAGGAAGACTTCATCTAAAAGAGAAAAAAACAACCAACATACCTGAAAATAATGAAAGCTGTTTATGACAAAGCCATACTTAACCTACTACATAATGAGGAAACGTTGAAAGCATTTCCTCTGTAAACAGGAACAACACAAGGATGCCCATTCTCACCACTGTTATTCAACATCACACAATCAGGCAAGAGGAAAAAATAAAAGGCATCCACATTGGAAAAGAAGACATCAAATTATCCTTATCTGATGAACATATGATCTTGGATTTAGAAACATGTAAAGGTTCCACCAGAAAACCCCTAGAGTTGATCAATAAATAGATACAGTTATTGCAGGATACTGCAATATTGCAGGATACAGTTATTGCAGAATCAATGTACCAAAAATCAGCAGCATTTCTACACACCTGGTCTAGTTAGGCAGGAAACAAAGAAGGCAATCCCATTTACAGTAGCAACAAAATGAAAAAAGATATGCCACAGAATAAATTTGACAAGGAGTTTGAAGATTTCTACAAGAAAAACTACAAAACACTGATGAAAAACTTTAATAAGACAGAAAGAAATGGACAATCATCTCATGTTCATGGATGGAAGAAACTCGTAGCCTTAAAATGACCGTACTGCCCAAAGCAGCCTAGAGATTCAATACTACCCCTGCCAAAATACCAGTGTCATCACTCACAGAATTGGAAAATCATACAAATTCATATGGAACCAAAAAAAAGCTCAAAGAGCCAAAGCCTTCCTCAGCAAATAGAAAAAAACTAGAGGCATCCCATTTCACTACAAATTAGAATGACAAAATTTTTAACAAGTGCATGGTAACTAAAACAGCATGGTGCTAGCAGGAAAATAGACACATAGATCAATGGGACACATGACAGAGCCCAGAAAGACAGCCACATATTCACAGCCAATTGATCTTCGACACAGCTGACAGAAACAAACACTGGGGAAAGGACACCCTCTTCAGTAAATGGTACTGGTAGGGCTGCATAGCCACATGCAGAAGAATGAAACTGGACCCTTTTTCTCTCACCGTATACAAACATCACCTCCAGATAGATCCGAGACTTGAACGCAAGATATGAAACTAGGAAAATATTAGAAGAAAACCTAGAGAAAACTCTTCTGGACCTTGTTTAGCGGAGCTGCCTAACTTTGGCAGGTGTACAATCTGAGGAGGCAGCATGTGCATCACAGGGAGAGGCAGAAGATGGGTTAGAAAGGGTCCCAGCCTGGCTCGAGGTGGAAGTGGTAGGTAAGGAAACCCCTGCGGCTGAGTGTGCTGTGGTGCCCTGGTCTGGCTGTGTTGGAGCAGAAGATGAGGCCTGGGCTGCAGCTGAAGCAGCTGGACAGGAATATGGGTGAACCCGCCTCAAGGTGTGGGTTCCCTGCTGCTGCCCATGAAGGACCACAGGTTTGGGCTGGGTGATGGCTGCAGCCATAACGACAAGTTTCCGTAGTGAGGTGCGACCACTGATCCTCAGTCTGGCCAGGGCGGTGATGAGAGAGGCAAAAGATGGGTTAGAAAGGGTCCCAGCCGGGCCTGCAGCCCAGGTGGACTTTCTTTTGGTGGGGGGACTCAAGGTTGAAGCAGCTGGATCTGAAGATGGACGAGCCCGCTTCAAGCCGCGGGTTCCCTGCTGCTGTCCATGAAGGACCACAGGTTTGGGCTGGGTGGTGGCTGCAGCGGTAACGGGAAGTTTCAGTAGTGAGGTGGGACCACTGAACCTCTGACTGGCCAGGGTGGTGGTGTGAGAGGCAGAAGATGGGTCAGGAAGGCTCCCAGCCAGGTCTGCAGCCCAGGTCGACTTTCTTTTGGTGCGGGGGCTCAAGGTGGAAGTGGTAGGTAAGGAAGCCCCTGCAGCTGAGTGTGCTGTGGTGCCCTGGGCTGGCTGTGTTGGAGCAGAAGATGAGGCCTGGGCTGAGTCCCAGTAGTGTGTAGAGGTGGCAGGAAGGGTGTCTGAGGAGAAGAACAGGGGGCCTGCTGACCTGCGCTTCCTCCCAGACACAGGAGGTCTAGAGGGGGACCCTGCAGCAGATGCTTGGAGGGCCACGGGGTCCAGGTCGTCTTGGGACTTGCGTCTCTCCTGCTGTGCATCCGTGCTGGGTGCTTTAGGGACAGCAGGCAGAGAAGACGTCCCTGTTGCCGGTGAGGACAAAGCATGGGAAAGCAGTGAGGCTCTGCACTCCCAGAGGGACTTTTCCTCGCCCTGCAGTGCACTATTAAGGCACATGATTTCGGCCTTTTCCTCCAGGTCCAGGTCTTCAGCGGTGACCCGGAACCCCAGCTGTAAGGGAGATGGCAGCCTCAGAGGCTCCCCTCGCCTGCGTGGCAGCAGAGGGTACTTTCGTCTATGAGGCCTAGAGGCCTGAGATGTCGGGGAGCCACTCCTGGGGGCCAGTTTCTCCCCAGGTGCTGAATCTGCTGCCTTTTCACACTGGGCCTGACCCTGAGAGACAGCCTGAGGGCTGACCTCAGTCACTGTCTTTGAAGAAGTGAGGGGCAGCCGGCAGTGGGATGAGGCTGGCCCCTTCCTCCTCTTTAGCCACGGGAAGCCTCCCGTGGAGCTGTAGGAGCTGGCGATGGCATTGCGTTTGGGGCAGCAGCTCATCCCGGAGGGCTGGGATTTCTTGTCAGATGGCATTTCTGACCTCTGGGTATGGAGATCTCTCTGCAGAGGCCCGGGCCTGGGTACGAAGGGAGAGAGGCCTCCACTGTCCCGCAGGGGTCTAAATGCAGACCGTGCATGCCTGGTGCCCTCAGGGCCCTCTTTCTGATCATCGGGCTTCTCTTGGACTCTGAGGTCCTTGTCCTGCTCAGGCATCCCTGCCCCACTCTCCACGAGGGCCCTCGACATGATCTCTGGATGGGAGTGTGGGGTAGAGCTAGGTGTTCTGGGCCACAAAAAGGCCATTACCTGCTCCAGGGCCTCTCTGAGAGTCCTTAGGATCCGTGCAATCACTGAGCTGCCGGACATTCTGGTATAGCGAGCACACAGCCCTGGCTTGCTGCCGTACCTGTGCCTCAAATTGAAGGCAGGATCGCCGGATGGAAAACAGGGCTTGTAAGATACAGAAATCCTTGGAGTTGTTTGGACACCAGGCTGATTCTAAGTGTCTGGGTACTTGTAGGAAGGCTTGCCACTCCCTCCAGGGGCAGGAGCAACGGAGAGATCCCACAAGCAACGTGAAGTGAGGGATGCGGGCAGCAGGCTCAAGGCAACTGAGTCCTACTGGCGGGTCCTCGGCCCCGGGAAGGGACCGGGACAGGGATAAAGGGCACAGAGTGCCCAGTTAACCGCTCCTGGGAGCAGTGGGGTATTTTCGCATCCTTGAACTCTCGAGAGCTGGGCTCTGAGCGTCCTCTTGTCTGCTGCCAACTGGCGAAGGGAGCATTCTCCTGTTGCCAGGAAACGCATCATTTAAACCTGAGCGGGTGGTGGGCGCGCAAAGACAGGCCGGAGTACCAGATCCGCGCCGGAAGGGCGACCTTAACGGATTCCCGCGACAGGGTATGCGCACCAGGCACCCGCTGATCATGCTGAGTCCGTGGGGTGGGGGGTCAAAATATGCGCGCTAGGCACCTGCGAGCAATGGCGGCGGGGGAGGGCGCAGGGTAGAAGGGGCGCCTGATAGGTACTGGAAGTAGAGGCTCTCTCACAAAGGACGCCAGACGTTAACGGTTTGGCCGGCAAGGTTCGCGCACAAGGCACCTGATGGCAACGGAAGGGGCGGCGCGCGCAAAGGGTACTGTAGGGAGAGGCGCGCGCACTAAGGACCTGGGACCTTAACGGATCGGCGGGGCAAGGTAAGGGCACAAGGCAGCTACTGGCAACTGCGGGATTGGGGGCGGGGTAGGGAGAGGCGCGCGCACTAGGTACTGCAGGGAGAGGCGAGCACAAAGGGCTCAGAATCTTAACGGATTGGCGTGACAAGGCATGCGCACAAGGCCATGATTATCAGTCCATGATTATTAATATCTCTAAGCTTTTGCGCATGCTCTCCTTTCCCTTCCCGGAAACCCCTCCCCACCTCAAGGGTTACTTCCCCCAAGAAGCATTCCTGGATCTCCCAGCTGCTGGCTCCTGCAGCACTCTGGGCAAACCTCTACCTTATTACCACGGCCACCATGAATGAAAATTATGACCCATTTCACCCATTTATTAATAAGCTTCAAGAAGCCAAAGATTTTCTCTTTCTAACCCTTATCTTACTGCCATCTAGCCCAATGTTTGGTAATCGCGTGCAGTTCAGAAATGTTAGTCAGATAGAATGATCTATTCAGAAGTTTCTGGAAGTGTTATCCTTTCCACAGAGGGCCTGGTTTAGTTAGTCTGTGGTCCTAGAAGGAACTGCCAAAACTGGCCCGAGGTCTCATTCCCAGAGAAAACCCGCATGAACAACCTTCCCATCCCAACTTTCCTCATGGCTGAAGGAAGGAGCAGGACCAGATGTTCTCTAGGGTCCCTTAGCGCTCCAGGATCCTTAGGTTCCAGGGAATTCCCCGGCAGAATGGATTGTTGGGAGCAAAAGAGGCCAGTGTGGCCTCTCAGCCGGTCTCTAGATGGACCCTGGCCTCTGGAAGGGCTGGGCCAAGGAAAAGAATTTGCCACTTCAGGGTCTCACACCTTCCTCTCCTCCAGCACATTTCTCTCTCCCTTTGCCTCACCTTCCCTTTTTCTGCTACCTCTCTGCCATCCTCTCCCCTTCTCTTTCTTTCTTATCTGCTTCTCTTCTATGGGCCCGACCGCACCTTCCCAGTATAGCTGCTTCCTTTTCACTCACTCACTCACTCCCTCGCTTTTGCGTCTTGCCAGTCAGATTCACCATCCTTCTACAGTCCCCTGCATTTATACTGCTTCCCTCCCATACCCGAATGTCTTGCTCGCTTTCTCCCTCTTCTCTATATCTGGCGAGTTAAGAGCCTCCTCTGGACTCCAAGACAGGAGAGGCTGCCCTGTGTCTTGGCGCCGACCCGCGGGGGGTGTGTGAAGGCCAGGGTGGCGGTGACGCGGCGCCAGCGGCGGGAGGGAAGTAAGGTCCGGGGAAGAAGGAAGCAAGCCGAACGCTGGGCTGCTAGGATCCCGCTCCCTCGCGCTCCCCACCACCCGCCCAGGCGCAGGCAGGGCACAGGCGGCGGGTGGGCGGCTTGGAGAGGCTGTGGGAGAATCTGGTGCGCCGGTCTCTACCTCAAGGAGCTCAGGGCCGTCATGCAGAACCAGCAGAGACTCGCCGGGCGCGATGACTCACGCCTGTAATCCCAACACTTTGGGAGACCTAGGTGGGTAGATCACGAGGTCGAGAGATCGACACCATCCTGGCCAAAACGGTGAAACCACGTCTCTACTAAAAATACGAAAATTAGCTGATAGTGGTGGCACGCGCCTGTAGTCTCAGCTGCTCGGGAGGCTGAGGCAGAAGAATCGCTTGAACCTGGGACGCAGAGGTTACAGTGAGCCGAGGTCGTGCCACTGCACTCCAGCCTGGCAACAGAACGGGACTCTGTCAAAAGAAAAAAGAAAAGAACCAGAAAGAACCAGCAGAGCCTTGTTCACACCCAGCGCCACAGCATCGACGAGCTGGAGCGGCGGCTGGACGGAGCTGAGCGCGGAGAATTGCTGCTTGTGGGAGCATCAGCAGCTGCTGCAAGCGTAGCCTCCGCTAGGATTCCTTACCTGAAGGAAGGAGCAGGACCAGATGTTCTGGTGGTGGTCTTCCGGCTGCCGGCCTCCTAGGCACCGCTGCCGCCACTGCCTGGGCCCAGGAACCTCTTCAGCACTACGGACAGCGCTCATTCGCTCAGCCTCGGCCGGCATCGTTTCAGAACCACGGACAGCTCCTGGCGCAACCCCAGCCGGGCCCTGGCGCAGGGCTCACACATCCCAGGCGCTCCATCAGCACCTGGGCACACTTGGGGCCAAGGCCAACAATGAGAAGAAAGGTCCCCCGGATTGCCATGCTGTCCCCGGAGCCCCTCTTCAGCAAGAATCTCGCTCGCCGTCTCCAAAGACGTCCCAAGCAGCAGACCTGTGTGAGCGGGGAGGAGCAGATGGGCACTGCCATGGTGGGAGCAAGGGAAGCAAGCGGGTGTGAGGGGACAGAGAAATCGGGTGCTTAGGAATCTAAAGGACCTGGGTGATGTGGTGTGAAGGGGTGAGAAGATGTTTGGGGGCAGAAGCCCGACAGGGAGATTTGTGGGGAAAGAGGGGGAAATATCAGTGTTTGAGAAGGATCGGGAAAATGTTGGAGCAAAAAGGAGTAACCAGATCATCGGTAGGGGCAAAGGAGGAAAGAAATTGGACATTTAAGCCATTGGGGATATTCAAAACTGGCAGCATTTAAAGAGGCTAGACTGGGAGGAAGTTGGAGTGAAAATCAAACTGAAGAAAATAGAACCATTGAAATTTTGTTTTAAGTTAGAAAAAATTTGGAAGAGTGTTTGAGTAGTGAAAGTATTTGAATGGAGAGTGGGATATGAAAAAATCAGAAGCTTGGAGGCATGCGAAGCGCTCTAAAAGGGCTGCAGCCAAGAAAGGGTACTGGGTAGAGGGGAATTCAGAAAGTGGGGGACAAAGCTGAAAAGCAGGAGTGATATGGGAAGGCAGGGGAGCTGTCCAGCACAGATATCCTGGTTAAAGTACAAGGACATAGAATATACTACATGCCTGTAAGCATGGCATGTGTAACAGCTACATAGGATAGGGCTGAACAAAGAGTTATCAGCACACTTATGATTTATTCTTTAACAAGAAAGAAAACTTTTAAAAGGAGCTTTTCCTTCCCACACCAACCATATACAAACTCTAACAAAAGTAAATAAAGCAGTCTGGCTATTAGCCAATAGGAAAAAGTGAAAACTCAAATTTTATGGCCTATCTAAAGTGAGTACCAGTTATTCAGTTCACAGTGTTACCAAAATAAAGGCAGACCAGCATTGCCTGACTACCTGATTCTTTTGGAGAAGCTAGGATCCAGATATTTATGTAAATTTTACCAGTTTTATAAATAATTTTACCAATTTCTACTGGACTCCTACAAGGATTTTCATGTTGGGAGTGCCTTGTGCTACCTCTGAAGACAGCACTGAAGGAAAGAGGCTAGAAATTAGAATGAATCAGAAAAAACTGTAACAGTGGATAAGAATGCAAACTATAGGGAATAAAATATTTTCAAAGCACATGCTCAACAAAGAACCAATGTCAAGAATATATATATTTTAAACTCTCCAAATTTAATAGTAAAAAAGTCAACAATCCAATTAGAAAATGGGCAAAGGCATGAAAAGACATTTTATCAAAAAACAAATACAGAAGATACATAAGCACATGAAAAGATGTTCTATGTTTTTAGCCATTAGGAAAATGCAAATTAAAAACACAGTGAGATACTACTATAGATCTATCAGAATGGCTAAGATAGAAAACAATGACTCCAGCCAAGATGGTCAACTAGAAGCAGCAGTTATCAGAGGCTCCCATTTAAAAGAACCAAAACAGCATGTGAACCCAGCAGTGACAACCAAGTTATGCAGGTTCTGTCACCAGGACCGACTAGACAGATGGCATGACCCACAAAAAGGAAGGAAGAGCAGTCCAGGATGTAAAAATCTCTTGCTGAGAGATCTTTTGTCTCAGTGCTGATTTTTCTTTGTGGCACTGAGCCACAACTGTTTCCAACAGTTGGTTTTTCCCACAAAATCTTACGTTGAAATTTGGTCCCAGTGTTGGAGGTGGAATCTAATGGGAGGTATTTGTGTCACTGAGGGTGGATCCCTCATGAATAGATTAATCCTCTCTCTAGGTATGGGTGAGATGAGTGAGTTCTCATATATGGGTTCCCATGAGAGCTGATTGTTAAAAAGAACCTAGAGGTTCCTTCTCTTTCTTATTTCCTCTCTCACCAGGTGATTTCTTTACACATTGGCTCCTCTTTGCCTTCTGCCATAAGTGAAAGTGGCCTGAGGCTTTTGCCAGAGGCA